GAGTCCTGGACTCGGACTCGAGTCACAATTTTCGTGTCTCGGACTCGACTCGAGTCACATTGGAAAATTCGGACTCGAGGCTTGCGACTCTGGACTCGGACTCGAGGCTTGTGACTCGGGACTCGGACTCGAGGCTTGTCACTCGAGACTCGGACTCGAGGCTTGTGACTCGGGACTCGGACTCGGACTCGGACTTGAGGCTTGTGACTCGGGACTCGGACTCGGACTCGACTACAACACTGGTTACCACTGCATCAAGAATCCAATCATTAGTCCACACATGAAGAAAATAGACCGGCTGAGCCAATTCGTGTGATACAACTATATGAATGTGGACCCACGTACTGAGTATTAGAAATTGGTGATCGCGTGTTTATAGTAAAAACATTTTTAAAACAATCATGTTACCACTGCATCAAGACACCAATTATAATTTCAGAAAATTTAGGGAAAACCTAATGATCCAGGTCTATGTATGAGACATTTTAGCCAGTGCAGAGTTTCTTCTTCGCTCTGAATTTCCTTGAACTTGCCACGTCACCTTCGGATTCCGATCCCGCCGTTTGAAGGGGTAATCTTAAATAAATAAATGGTAAATATGTCACTGTCGGTTGGCCGGGTCGTGACATACCTTCGCATCAGGGTGGATGAACTGTTGTGGCTTCATGCCTACGAAGTCATGATAGCTGTCTTCTGTGAATTTTGCATTCATGACATCTTGCATAATATGTAGCACTAGCTCAAATTAAAGGGGTTGGCGCAGCAGCGCTTTCCTTGCCTTCCACCTCTGTGACCCGGGTTCGATCCCACCCAGATCAACATGTGGATGAGGTTTTTAATCCCTGCCTGATTCCGTGGGTTCTCCCTTGAATATTCTTTCGGGGTTTCCCTCACATCTCTTAAACAACATTTCTTCATGACTGTCTTCAGTGTCTTCTCACTCTATTTTCCTCAGGCTTCGAGCTACATTCTTTGTGCACTTTGAAGAACATTGGCATCATTTCCAGAAAGAGTGAAAATACATATTTCGTAGAATTGGAGAAACTGGATGGAAATGTACCAATTTTTAAATCATGCTTCTGCCTAGATGCTACATTCCTACTGCACATTCGAATAATCCTCGGTTTCCTTACTAAGAAGGATTTAATATTTGCCTCTGAGGAAGTCCTTGCTAAAGATGAAATATCAGGCCACTCTAATTCTTTTTAATTTAAATAAATATTTCGTAGAAGTGGAGATATCTGAACGGAAAGTATGACTCTGAAATAATACTTCAGGCCAGATTTATGAGTTGAATGTTTTTCTAAGTGATTAGGAATTCCTCATGCTGGTTGACAAGTGACGGTGCAATATGAGAACACGCAGTGTGGTCTGGTATGGTTGAACTTTTCAGATGTTGTAAATATTTGGATCCTCGCCTAAAAAAAACACATATTGGTGTCCCAAGTATAAATCTAAGTTAAATGGAGGGTTTTTTTTCAGAATTTGTCCTTGCTATTTAGGGTTTTCCAGGAAAGAATTGTATACCTTTCAAGTCTGAGGATGTGTTATTGGGTTCTGAGTGAGCTGCTAGTCACCGTTAAAAATGAACTAAGCCTCGGGGCTATATGGAAGCAATTGCTGAATATAGTGTTGAAATTATTATCAACAAAGATGTGTGCGATTCGAGCGCCGGACACACGGGACCTGTGCGATGAAATCGCATCGATATCAAAAATCGCAAGAATACCGTGTCGTGTGAAGGGCATGATGATGATGATCCGGCGAGACAGATTCAAGCAGTATCTTTTTCTAATCCTTTAAAGCAACACATCGTCACATTTACAAGTATGATTATTAAATGATGCAAGGCTTTGCTGAGAACGTTGGCTTGAATTCTAATGAAATGAAGGGAACTATTGTGCAATCAGATATGAAACATACAGACAGGTCTGTTGAGGAACACTCATTCTCTCTGGCGTCACTTGATACTTGTTATTGGCGGTGTGTTATTCAATGTCATGAATATTTCTGGCGACATAGGTATTAGCGATATTTCATTCGTTATCATGACATGCATCATCCGCATATTCAATCTATAGGTGAGTGGCAATAAAAACAAAATTAAAGATTAATATGATAATCTTGTTGTGAAGAAGCGCAATTAAGGCTCCAGTAAGCAGCTGCCCAGCACCTGTGCCGTCCCGTAGATAACCGTTATACGGTGAGGAGGCTAATATCAATCGTTAGCTGAGGAGATTGGGCCTTCCGTTCCCGAAAGACTGTCTAATGCGCTCATATATACAGCGGTGGCCATTAAAAGTTGGGGCCATTTTCAGTTCGTCGTGAGTAGCAGCAACGTCATGTTTGACTTTTAAACAAATATGACTTGAATGGGTTTATCATACTTATAGTCTTTTTGTTTTACAGTAATCAGCTCTCATTTTTTTGATGGACGTATTCGAATTATGGTTGATTTTTGCAATCACTTTGTTTGTTTTGCAGTAATGATGTCCGGAAATGTATAGGTACATTTGGATTGTCTTTCGGTGCAAAACAAAGCTCCTGGCACACACTTTGTGAGAAGTTGGTTTCCATCAATATACATCAAAGTCTATAAAACGATTAAGCATGTTGAACTACAGCCAACACGTGAAATACCTTGGGCTTTTAAATGTGAATCTTATATTTTTAACAAGCGGTAAAGACAGTATAATTCGAAGATATTTTGAAATATTTTTGAAATCTGGAAATATTTTGAAATCTGTTTGGAAAGACACGCAGCAGCGATGCAATGTACTTCAACTTCGAGTTCTGGTGTGAACTTTGGCTTTATATCGCCGCTCCCCCACAAATACCCCGTGATCTTCATCAGCACTTCGGCCACCATCGATCGTCCCAGTTAATTGCCATCCTCAAGTGCTCCCCGGTCAACTTGATCAATACCGGGGCGATGGGCGAGCGGAGCGCGCACGGTCCCCCGCGTGGGGCTCGACCTCGCCCGAGCCTCCCGCTATCGCTTGACCTGTTAACGCGTCGCGAGCAAACACGCGTGCATACCACAAAAAAAGCAACGGTGCTCGGTCAAGCACATTGGAAAGTGATTATTTTCACTGAAAACACTTCATTGGATGGGACAGTTTGGGTACTCGTCTGTCTGAAGTGGTCAAAAGGAAAATAAACGAACACGTGTCTCACACCGTAGCCTACAACTGGAGTGGTTTGACAGTTAAGTTTTCGGGAAGTTTACATGTTTTGTTCGAGCATGAAATGAAATCACTTCAAATGTTTATTCAGGGAAATTTATTTATAATTGGCCTAGTTCTGTTGCGTCTACATCCTAAAAGGCCATCGCGATACTGTTCGTTTTGCGTGGAATAATATGTTATGTGACACCGACCCAGTTTTGAAGCCTTTATAGCTTCAATAAGCTTCAAATGGGTTGCCGTAACCCGTAAGTGCAGAGAGTATAGGCTATGATTTTATTTCGAGTTACTTAGTCAAAACTACCGCATAGTGAATTAAATATAAGTACTCTCTAAATGTAAAAGAGTGGAAAGAAATACTCCTTTAAAGAGCCATACAACTCTTGTCGAATGGATTTCCACTATTTTAGAGTGAAGTTTGCTTTTTCTTTTATTTTTTGAGTGGTTCTTTTTTCACTAAACCACTATAAAAGGGTTAATTCACTTCCACTCCTTTAACAGAGCCATATGCGGGACAAATTCGAGTGATTTTATCTCTTTTACATTTTGAGATTAAAAAGATGTAAATCAAAACTTCACTCAGGCTAAATACATTTAGGTATAAATTTCACAGACATGTAATTTTTTTAATACTTACGGATTTATTGAATGTAATATGTAGTTGTCAAAATGGTTTCCCCATAAATGAGGTACCACATTATTGTACAAGGAGCAAGTGCTTGGATTAACATATACCGCTCTACTGTGTACAGTGGTTGTCTGGTATGCGCCCTCTACCGGGCCGTATGTGTCATTAGTTGCGGCTGCACCAACCGTTGAAACGATGAAAACAAATATTCACTGATATATTTCTAATAAAACTATCGCACAGTGCACGCATCACTAACTGCGATTTGACAACTTCTGAAATATATTTCTTAATTCTATTCCTAATCTGAATGATTGCGTTTTGAACAAAACAATCTATTGGCGTTTTACTACAGGTGGTTTAACAATAGATACATGTATAGTTCTTTTTCGGAAGAGACGGCTCAAATGTTTGTACATGGGCATTTTACAACACCAGAGCTCCAACAGATTGGCTTCATGTTCATCATCCGTTTAAGAACAAGATCCACCTGAGAACAATTATAGATTGTGGCCTTCGCTTGTAATTTGCCAAACACTTCAGTTAATCCTCGCGCGTACGGACCGCCTATTCATTAATTTTCGACACGGGACCTTGGTTTGTAATTAAACGGACTTGAGTCTTTAAAGACGGGCATTTGTCTCTGATCTTCTCATTGAGACGCTTTCGCTTGACATAAATTGACCATGCAAAAATAACAACTTGATCCACAGACTAACCCGCCCCCCCCCCTTTTTTTTAAATTTCCAACACGCGTATTCTGCTGAAAAACAGTGGTAATGTATTTCATGCATTATGTACGATGGGGGCTTTTATTAAATACCGCAGTTTTCGAGGTGCACCCTATTTTGTTCATCCTAAAACTGTATTGTTTTTTTCTGAATGCAATGATACCTGTAATAATCCTTTTTGGGGGTTTATCCTTTGACAAGTACATGTATCTACGACCTACTGCAAGACTTTGTAATGTATCCATTGAATTGCTTTTGCCAGGGCTTCAATGTGTTTAGTGTAGTGTCTTTTTAAACCCCAAGTGGAAAGCACATGCATGTTAAAATAGCTCTTTTAACGACCAAATGTTTTCAAAAGGGCGAGGCCCTGATGTCTCTTCATAAGATAGGGGGTACCACTTCAACTTTCCTATATTTTTTAACAAGATTCTTGATTCTGTTTCGTCAACAGGCAAGAGTCTGCATGCAGTAATGCCCAATCTGGTTGACAAAACTCTCACGGACGTCTTCGAACTCAAGCGGCCGTTGCTGACCTTCACGTGGGACAATGTAAGTATAGAAAATAATACTGCTCCGCTAAAGGGTAAATGAGTATTTCAACTGCGCGAGCGCACATTCAACTCAGGACATGTTCTTTTTGACCCCAAAAAAACAACCAAGAAACTATAAAATAGACAAAAGGAATCTCTTCTTTGAAGAAGTGTGGTTCTGAAAAGAACCGGTTGGTTGAGTGTAGAACTCGACGTTTCGAACAGTGTGCTCTGTCCGTCTTCAGGAGGATGGCAGAGCACACACTGTCCGAAACGTCGAGTTCTACACTCAACCAACCGGTTCTTTTCAGACCACACTTCTTCCAAGAAGAGATTTCTTTCCACATGGTGTTACCCGTAATTTTGTCTATTTTATGTCATCCGCCATGCAAAGCTTCAGGTCATATATACCAGAGACTATACCTCGTGCTCAGTAGGCCTTTTCGGCGAGTGTGGGAGCCGTATAATGACGCTATTATTAATTTTTTTTGGGGGGGGGTATATACAAACGGACGTGCGCACAAAATCCTTGGTATTATTTTCACTTTGTTTTAATTCAATGTTAATTGTGTACAATCTTTATCTTTTAGATTGGTATAAGCTCATTTAACAAATGGTGAAAATTGCGTCGTTAACGGCACCTGCATCCAGTCAAAAGCATACAATGTTTGGACTGTACAATTGTTTTACATAACTTTTGAATGTGATGCTCCAAAGTATGTGCGAACTATATATAAATCTTCCTTGTGGTCGTATATATGAATTTGCAGATTTTAGATTTCGCCAACCGATGCCCATAAACTTGTGTACATACCGGAGAACATTTCTCAAATCGAATCACAACTCTTTCAGTTTGTGCGAGTTATATTATTTGCATCGATTTTGAACTGTGCCAGACTCACAATAGACATTTATTTCTTCAATCAAAGGCTTTTTGGGCGTCTGAACTTCAATGCCCGAGCACTTTTAAGGAACTCTTTTGACCCACCAAAAACAAATGAAATACATTTCGTTGCACAAGAATCAGAGTGCTATCTTTGACTCGTAAGTATCTCCACCTTGCTATGCAAGGTGGAGATACTAATGAATGAAAGGTTTGCGGAAACACCATGTGGGAATAATTTCTCAAACTAAGAGAAAGTTGAAAAGGTATAAACTCAACTCTTTTTACATTTTCACACCATTGTATTTTTTATCTGGCCCTATCGTGTCCATAAGAATATTTGACCCGGGGTCTCCAGTCATGTCCTGGGGCTATAAGTGGGGCAGATAGGGGAAATATTAAGGAGAATTGTGCCTTTAATGATACAAGCACGGCATTTGGCACACAGTCAGAGTATGCCATGAGAAAGATATTTGGTTATAGGGCCGTCGCAGATTTGTCCTTTGAAAAAGTATAGGTAGAATTACAAGCAATTTTCTAAATTTTCAAAATGGCTGCCATTGCTTGTTATTCTACCTAATTGTCTACCAAGGACAAATCTGCGATGGCCCTATAGCCAAATATCTTTCTCATGGCACACTCTGACTGTGTGCCAAATTCCATGCTTGTATCATCAAGGGCACAATCCCATCACCTATCTGCCGTACTATATGCCATGAATCTCAACAAACAAACAAAAACCACAAATAATTAATCAGATAAAAACAGCTCTGTAACAAAATCTGAGTTTCGACTTTGAAGCAATGCATTTATTTTTCATTACAATTTCTTTTTTGACCGAAGCTGTCAAGTCAGGTCAAGTCTCGAGGCTATGCCGTGAAATCACCCCTTTGCCCCCACTCCCGTGTGTCCGGTACTCCGGTACTAGCATCTTGACCAGACAGCAGGGAGGCACCACCGTGTTTGCCCTCCTATCTATCACCATCCCAGTAACCCGTCCCCGGCGGTGTTTTACCGGGGGACAAACAACGACAGAAAAGTGCTTCCCATCATGAATACGCCTCGCTAAATTGCAAGCACCGGAGGCTGAGAGATGATTAGAGTGGAATGGTTTCCCGGTCGTTCTGATATTCTTAGATATAAAAAAAATCAGAAAAGGAACAATGTTTTATCGTTGAAGAGCAGTGGTCAGAAGGGTCATTGACCAGCCATGTACTGAACCTGAGACAGATCTTCAGAAGTCTTCATCTTCACCCAATTGATACTGTCACTGAGCTTTAGTCGGCATTTTATTGACTTCCTGCGCGAACTGACATGGGCGTTTTATATAGACTAAACACGAGAGCGAATGTACATTGAAAGTAAGGTTTCGAGGACGAGGCTAAAATGGAAAGTTCCCGCCTTTCTGGTTCGCTTGTGCTTTTATTGTACGTTTTGGACATTGCATACCAAGAAAGTAACAACTGAAAGATATATCGAACGTGCCAGATTTTCTTCTGCATATTCAGCGTTGGTTTTATGCAAACTATGCGAATGTAACATCGATGGATCCCTTAATGGCTGTCAATAAAGAATACAACCATTCTGGAACTTCCAACTTTCCTAAAAAAAGAAAGACAATCTGTCTTCTTTTTTTAACCAAATGGGTCTTCAGCTAACCCGCGACAGCGCCTTTGGTGGCCTGACCCATGCATCTTCCCGTTTTCACTACTTGCTTTGGGTAGAAACAAAACACAATGCAACTTTCTAATCTTTGCATTTGATACGGGGCCTCGGGAGATCTGTTCACGTGTATGATTGTACATGTGTCGCTATCTCCCATCTACGTTTTCGCCTATATCCATTTCCAGGTCAACTTTGAATCTTGTTTTGCTACTTATCTGTTGTTGTGTTTTGTTTTTTTCTCTTGTTTCTTCGCTTGGCGTGCGTTATTGAATCCTTTGGCTGAGATTTTGTGTCGCCCGAACGAAGTTCAGGAAAGAGACTATGCAATCACTATGTCTGTACGTATGTACATGTATGTATACATGTATGTATAATAATAATAAAGATAATAATAATAATTTGGGAGGCTAATCATCCTTACTCGCAGCTGGTATGCTGAATTGCGAAGGACGTGTATGTATACATGTATGTATGTATGATCTGATACACCGTACCCTCTGGAGACGTGTGTACAATAGGAAACAAAAGATTATATCCGTCTTCACAGGGACATTTCTATAGATGAATACGTCTCCACAAGGTTATCACGAAATAAATATATGGATTTTACTCATAAACTAGGAATTTCCAAGCTATGTTGATCGGTTGCAAATGGAAGAGTTTTAGAAAAGGGATATTAAGTCCAAATTTCAGACAAGGATATTAATTCTGGTTAAAGTAAGAGCATTTTTAAACTGCACTGCAACAAAGGAATGTCTCCACAAGAATACAAATTCCAGTATTATTGTGGTATTTTGGTTAACGTTTCGTGTAGTGATCTCTTTTCAAAAGTTAAAGTCCAATTGGATCCAAACTTGAATCATAGATGCAACATGGGAATCATTATATGATAATGATGTCAAAGGTCACATACCAGGTTCATTTGATGTCAAGTTGTAAAAGAGGCTGAACATGTACAATTGCTCTCATTTCAAAAGTTAAAGTCCAAGTGTACCAAACTGGTGTCACAGATGCAACATGCCAACCTTCATATGATAATGATGTCAGAAGTCACATACCGAGGTCAAAGGTCATCTGAGGTCAATTTGTGAAATTGGCTGAAAATGTAAAATTGGTCTCATTTGAAAAGTTGAAGTCCAATTGGAACCAAACTTGGGTCGTACATGCAACATGGCAACCTTCACATTGATAAGTCACTCTTTAAAGATAATCACGAAAGCAGGCGAGACGCATGGTTCGAGAACCATCTTGTTTAATCACCCGGTCATCAATTACAACCTGTGAAGAGCCACTCTGGAAAAAAAGCAATTTTGAGGCGCTCCAAGGAAGAGGTCGTTGATACTAATTACAAACCTAGTGTGATTCGATCTTCCTTGTTGAATGTTATTGCTATAGGAGCATCTTCAGACCCCGGTAAAGGGTCGAAAAATGTTAATTTTAGTGTTAAATCAACCGCGGTCCGAGCTCGGCCAGTGACTGTTGTATACTCTCAATGCATTTCCCATTTACGTATTAAATTAAGGGAATAAATATGTGCTTGGCAAACCAGATAGGGGCATGGACGAGGATAATGGCCCGAGGCGAAGGCGAGGGACATTTTCCGTCTAGACGGTTTTAAACGTACTACCGGCCAAGCACATTATTTGTTCCCATTCATGAACATATTTCGGTCAACTTCTTTCAAGTCAAAACATCTTTCAAGTCAAAACAAGCCAGAAATTCACAATTACAGAAAATTTTGTTTAACAGTTTTACTTCATGTTTTCTGAAACACCCCTCTGGCCATGTTTATGGTATGTGCCTCGCACGCGTAGTGCTAAAACAATTTCCTTATATGGAAAATAGCGCGCTTGGTGCGTACATGACGCTGTGGCGCAGAACGCAGCGTTGTTTTACCGGCGGTTTAAAATCACCCATTTGACGGGCTGTCGACCAATAGGATTGAGTATACTGTCTCAGGTATTTGTGAATTCTGATTTACTTGGGTTCAAAATATCATTTTCTTCAATTGGAAGGTGTGACATTTGTTCGTATGAATACCAATCAACAGACCTAAAGCCCCTGTCACACCTTTGCGTATCCTAATTCCTTATGAGTTCCTTATCAAAAATTTTCAATACGCAGCCGTACGCTCAATTAACGTCGAAATGTTTTGATCACTTTGACTTATGTGCGACGCACATCTAGCGTACAAGTAACGAATTCAGCGCATGCATTGCGTATGAGATGCGTATGAGTTGCGTATGCAGTACACAACATTATTTTTCGGGCTGCGAATAGGTCAGTATGCAGTGCGCAAGCCGAGCTTATTCCGGACGCACCCGACTTATGCCGACCGCATGCTTGACGCACTTCTGAGCGTATTCCCGCCGCATTTCCGCCGCTCGCCGTTGCATCTGCGCTGCAAGTACGCTATGTATACGTCCAATACAGGCGGCTCATTATGCTGACGGGGTGCGTCACGAACACATAGCATACTCGTAACGCACTCGACCGATGCGGGACCGATGCGCTGCGTATTTATAACTTATGACCTGCGTAACAGCGTACGCAGCGTAGTTTTGTGCATGCCCAAAACTATCCTGCGTACTGGGCCGTACCATGCGTATATCTGCGTACATAAAACCTACACAAAACGATAGAGATGCATATGAGGTGCGTATTGTGCGTACGACTGCGTATGAAAAAATTTGTCAATGCGCAACTCATAAGGAATTAGGATACGCAGAAGTGTGACAGGGCCCTTAGACGTAATGACTTCACGTTTTGTTTACATGTGCGCTTTCCTATGGCAGCCAGTACACCTGTTTCCCCATAGGAAATCGCACATGTAAACAAAGCGTGACGTCATTATGTCTGGGGTCTGGTCATCCTACATGTATGACTGCAGTGTTCAACTGTGATTGCGAATTTGCGTCTTGTCGACCTCGTGTTGGCGGCAGACTTACCTGTCATGAAAACAGTGGTGCGCATGCTTACATTTGCGTACAGCTGATAAGATGTGGGTATGCATGAATTGTCAAGTCCAGTTCAAAAAAAGCGAATTAACTTCATTAGTGGCTGGATATACTGTGGTGGCGATGACAACGATTCGATTTACAGTAATCATTATACTTTAAAGTAAATGATCGCAACAAAACATTGCATTTTAAAATTCTTGGAAAACAAATTGATGGGTACGCAAATAGGCGGATATTGTGCAAAGAGATTAAAACTTAACTTTGTGTACGGATGTCGTTACATTGTGTAGCACTAACTAAAGTTAATAAAGTAAAGTTGCCAAGCTTTTTTCCAGTTTCCTGAATGAAACGATCGGAAATGTTCTCATCCCTGGAATGCAAATCTGTTGCAGGTTACTCCCCAGCTAATACCGGTACCCATTTGCACAATCCCGTGTGGAGAGAATCAAGTGGGGGAAAGGTGGCTTGCCCAAGGACACAGCATATGCTCAGCGGATGTATTCGAACCCCATCAATCTGATTCTGGGTCACTTACCCTGATCAACTACGCCACAAAAGGGAGGGAATATTTATTTTTATGAAAATGACACGCGAGGTAGAAATTTAATATTCCACTTATTCCAGCTTAAAACTCAGTTAAAGCACTTAGAAATGTAATATTCCCCGGTTAATTGCATCCTAATGTAACAACGAGGGAATTCACCGGGAAATTCAGTCGAGTCAATCACCTCATCATACGCACGAAACCGAAAGGTTGAAGTAATGAAAAAGTTAATTACACAAACGCCCTTAAATAAATAGAACTTCTCAGAACAGTGAGCTTGAAGTTGTAGTGCTTTCATGTTTGACCGGTCAACATGCCTCTCTCGGTGGTGAAAGAAGCTATCTCCCAAAAGCTTGGAACCGGATTTTAATCTCCGGGAATCACTCTGGTTGTTCACCAAGGCCCACTCCAGTCGAGTGGTACTCTTCACCTTCATCAGTCACAAAGTCCTCTTTACTTCATCAGTCACAAAGATGAGTCCCTTCCCGTTTCTGGTAAAATCCAGACGCGCCGTTTATTAATAATCCGTCTTGCGCCATGAGAGAGAAGCCTCACGCGATCATGTCTCTATGACATTAGATTAGTTGTCCTTAAGGGGATTCGGTCGCACTTCCTGTCTCATTCAAGGACCCTCTTATAGCCGCTATCCGGTAAGGAAACGCAGGGCGTTGTGGGTAGTTTCAATACTGCCATGACCAATGCACGTGCATTCCTAGTCTTGGCCAGGGAGGCCCGTCCAAGCAAGTTTAGCCAAGCCGCCTGCGCGCACGGGTGCAGGCACAATCAACAAGATGATATACATGAACAGTATGTCCCCCAAAAATGTCCGTCTAATTTATTTTAGAAATAACTACAAAACTATGAAGTCAACTTTGAAAATGTTTGATTGTGCAGATACTCCTTATCCTTGGTCTAAACCCCTATGAGTTTCATTAAATTATCACTGCACAATGGTCAATTGATCACAACAACATTTTGGACACTGTGACCAAGTTCCTTCCCCTAATCAATTTCAGTGCTGTGTTATGTAAGCTGTGTAAAATCTTGCATGTTTTGAGAAAAAGGCTGACTTGGTTTGGGATTGGAATCATTATTTTGCCCTTGGACATTAAACGGGGATCTGGCCACGACTGATAACCAGGCAAATGATTCCAATCCCAACCGCAGCCCTTTTCACAACTTGCAGGATTTTACCTAGCCTATACACAGCTACATAACACAGCACAGAACCTCATTAAAAGGCAAGGAAATGGGGACATACTGTACATTGATTCAGCTGCGTTGGAACAACATAACCTAAATCAGCCTTTAGGCCAAAAAAAAAAGTCTCCGGTTTCTGGTATGCGCGCGCGTCGCCGTAGCCATGCGCGTCGGCAAAATGAAAAAGTTTTTTTTTCAATGAAAGATGATGTCTCAAAAACCGCCAAACTCACTGGTTTGACTGGAATCCTGCTGCTGCACAATTTTAACGTGTTTTTAGATTGCGTTATGGTCGAGAATAAGCTTTATGTGGCCTCTCTGGACTCCCATATATTTGCACTAAGTTTAGTCGGGCACCATTTGCAGTCATCAGCCGACATTTGAAGCAAAAAAATCAGGTAAAAAAAAAAAAACCGCGTCGCCGCACCACTTTTTGGGCAAGCTCCATACCAGAAACCGGAGACTTTTGGGGGGGGCCTTAGCCAAGACCAGTGCATTCCAGATGCAACATACCATGTATCAACAAAACATGTATGCACTATAATGATTAATTTCGTTGCCTCCTTGGGCTGAACGCGAACACATACCACTTTGTGACCTGCAATAGGTCTTGACCGGTCACCGGCTGATAATGTTGCCGAAAATGGTTCATGGACGTCGGACATTACGAGCTCTATAGATCTAAACATTGGCGTAATTGGGCCTGTAAATTCCAAGACCCATGACCCAAACCTAAAATGCATCTCGTTGTACATGGACACCGGATCCATGTACTTCTTAAATTATTAACCAATTAGTTAGCTCCTGTACCGTCTAGAACCACCCAAGCACTCGATGATTTTATGGGTTCTCCAGTGAGTAAATACAAAGTTATACAGTGTAGTACAGGTGCTAAAGATTGAGGATGAATGTACTAGATACCAAAGCCAGTGGCATTATTTATTCCGGGTGTGTCTGTTTCGTGAAGGGATCTTTGTAGAGGTCATCAAGAGTTCAGCCCCTTGTTCAGCACCAAACAGCCGTCGGCTGCTTGTAATACAATTCATGATTAAAACCCATGTTTGTCCTTAAAAAAAAATAGGGTTTGTTTTTTTCTTGGTTTTTAGATACGGGCGCATGAGAACGTTGTATTCGAGGTTATCACGGTGAACATGGTGATAAGAAGCATGTCTACCAACGTGCCCTGCGTGGTACCGGAGCCTGAGAATCAGAACGAGGTTGCACCGTTAATGGCTGACGTCCCCGAGGACGACGAAGAGTATAAAGGTGAGGGAAAATTGGTTGGGTAGCCTACGGCGTGCTCCACAAGAAAAAGAAATGCACTGGAGCTTTTTTTGAGCGAAGTAGACCTTTTAGTTTGTACCAAAAAAAGAGATAATTTTGAAAAGAAAAATATGTTTCTAAAGGGACACAGTGTTTACAGATTTCTTTATCATTGCCTTGTCTAAGTGTGTTTCAAATCTTAAAACAAAAACTATCTGTACCAAGTGTAAGGGACATTGATCAGGAGTTTGTGAGGAACATTATGTGCATTTTGCAAGTTCAATTTGGATGTGAAGGCGGAACAGTTAAAAGCAACGCCTTGACGTAAACTGTTACGACGAGGTGATAATAACTAGTCTTGTTTGTGGCATCACAGCCTTCACAGAAACAAAATGTTAAGATTTAAGTGTGGTCTCTGTGACTGGAAGTAAGTCTAATTGTTTTTCAAAACAAACAATTTATTGACGCGAAAACCTTTTAATCCTTGACCTTTTTGGTGACTTTTACACAATTACAAAAATGTTGGTTTTACAGCACAGAGTTACCAAAGGAAAGCACTGTGTCCCTTCAGTGTCAAGCTGTGGATTGGCTATATAAGATATCTCGACCAATTAAGCTATACTGGTGACGTCACAACTGACCGTTGATCGAACTCTTGGTGGCAGCATTTTATTGTACCTATCAAAGGTTGTCGAGTAGAGACGTATTAGCAAGCGCACGTGAACTTTCGTGAACCAGTGTATAGCTTAAGGCGTAGTTTATGCATAATTTGCTAGTTTTAGCGCCATCAAGTGTCAAGTGGTAGTGGCCCCTTTACCACAAACCCGCAATTTGTAGTTTGTGTTTGTGCGTCGCCCAATAACTACTCCAGCCGACCCCTTCACCCCTGTTCCATGGGCGCCAAAACGGCAATGTTGAGCTATGACATGAACATCCTATTTCGGCGACCATTGTGTCTGATTTTCATCTTGTCCCAAACGCTCTCCGGGTTAAGATTCACACAACCTAACCGAAAGGAAGTCTTACATTGTTCAATATAACTGTATAAGTTCGTAATCATGTTATTTCCAAGGACAATTAACTTTAAAACTGCCTTTCGGTGTGCTGTTTTTACCACTAATATTCACATCATCAGTTATCAGCCTTACTTCATTTTGACTGCGAACATTGTATCGTGCATTGCTCTTTGTAAATCTCCAATCTTGGGCGTCCATTAATTTTGCAATTAACTGGTGTAAAGTCTGGCTTTAAAAAAACATTGAAATGGCTTGCTATCGCCAGTGGCTTTACTAATCGTCATGCTTAAATTTGAAGGGAAAAACCTAAGCGTTCGAGGCGCGGAAGACACCAAGTAAAGAAAGCGAAAATCAGTAGATGAGCATTCAGGTGTTGGTTTCGACTGGGTGTTTTAGAAAACTACACCGTGTGACTCAACACTTTGCACGTCTAACTAACAACGCAGGCCAAGTCCTACTCGACACTGCGTTTACTAAAGACGTCTGTTTTGTAGTCTCAGTCCAAGACTGTATTTCTATTCCCCTATTTTGCAACCAGTCCCGTGACAAACGCGGTTAAGTTTCCGCGGCGGGTGAGGTCTTTATCAACAACACGAATGAAAACCAGTCTTGGCAATATTGGCAGCGCTACCCTGGAAATTCCGAGCACATCTCACGCGAGTGCTTTAGCTTGAATACTTCGCGCGTGAGGTATACTCAGAATTTCTTGGTAGTGCTGCCAACATTGGCAAAAGAGTGGTTTTTGATAGCAACCTCGCTTGTCACGGACCGGTTGTATACGGGGAATAAAATCCAAAACCAGTTTTGTACCAAGACTATCTATTGTGCAAATCTGAGTATTCATCTGAAAACCACAATACTTTCTAAACACAAAATTTCTTTACTCAACAGTGAAATTAAGGAAACATGTTGCAGTCATTTCAATGCAAGCACGCGCTTTGCTTATTTCGCTGCTAGCAGCTGCTTTTTTCGAATCTTTAGTTTTTATAATCTGTTAGTTCTGCCACTGGGTAATTCTAAAGGAACACTAAAATACTAACCCGTTCCCTTGGCTAATACTCCACTCACTACAGAAATTCATAGCAACCGTTTTGGACATATAAATTCTGTAAGAGGAATAAGTAAACTGTGATCATGCTGTTTGATGTAACTTTTGTGAAGGAAAGCATAGCAAGATTAAAATAATTCTCTAATTAATAAAATGCTTTCTCAATTTGTAGATCTTTTAAGTAGGAACGACTCGGAGGTTTGCAGATAATATGTTTAGATGGAAACACATTTAGAACCAGTCTCGATTGTTTTCTCATTAAAGTATTTTTTATCACTTATCATGGGGTGCTATGGTCCAGCGGTTACGGTGTTCGACTCGTGTGCCGTGGTACATGGGTTCGAATCCTGACGGGGAACATGGTGCTTGTGCTCTTGAGCAAGGCACTTCACCATTATTGCTTCGTCCTTCGGATGGGACGTAAAGCCGTAGGTCCCGTGTGTTGTGTAATGCACGTTAAAGACCCCAGTAACACTTATCGCTAAGAGAAGGGGTTTGCCCCGGTGTTTCTGGCAGTGGCTGCAATATGCGCCGCAGCACCTTGCAAACCATTATAAAGGTGCTACATAATGGGTCTCATATTTCTCATCAACTTTATTTACCTTTCTTTAATAATCGACATAATCTCCAGCGCCTTGAGTACCTGATTGTTGGTAGATACGTGCGCTATATAAGACTCCATTATTATTATGATTATGATTATAATTATTATGTAATTAAAGTAAATGTCAATAAAGGGTTGATAACTGCACTACTTTTTCTCTCGCTAAATGCTCACTTGACGTCGTGAAGTAAAGAATAAGTTAGTCAATCGAGGAGTGCCCATTGCCAAAGTGCCCGAGGGAAAGGTGCCAGGAAAACAGTATAACAAAACAGGTAACAAAACTGCCAGCCAATCATAAACAGAAAGCTGGCAGGTCAGATTGCTACATGGGCATGCGCACACAAAAAAGTCACCTTCGTTCCGCACTTCAACGAATAATCAGCCAAATTTTGTTTTGGTTATTCGTTCATACTGTAAGTGTAAACCGTGGTTTTCTTTTTTTTTTCAAAACTGACATTGGAGGGATGTCGAGTGACCCCTGGTCACAAAAAAAATACGTTTTTTCTTTAAAACTTGCACGGCACTTAATTTTCATAAATGGCCTCTTTTTGCAGTAGTATCTAGCTTTAGTTAAATCATTCTGCACCGCATGACCATTCTACTAAACGCCTGTTTTTAGTATGTTTGCCAATTCTTTAGACCTTCTTGAAAGGTTCTGTCTTCATGCGAATGAAATTTATTGCCTGAGGAAGTGTTTACTGTTTTGCTGCCGTAAAATGGTCCGATGATGCTGTGTTTTTGACTTTTATGTGCCTTTATGCACAACCAATGATGTTGATAATACACGATTGGTGTGAACGTGATACATTGGTGTTACAAATGTTACCAGTGAAATCAAGTGTGCACCAGCGGCGTATGGTTAGCCGTTTTAAAAATCATATATAATTCCGTGTAGGAAGGAGTGTGCATGTCTCTATAGGTTCTTTCGGGGACTCGTAAAACTCAAACTTCAATCAAGTTGCAAAAACTACGGTGTACATTTGCATCACGCGGTGTTTGGATTAAGCTGCATCTGCCATTGTGTTTATGGAACACCATATTGTTTGCATTTATCATACAGGTTAATAAATACAAAACATCTTTCGTTAGGCAAAATGTCATCATGCTCTTAAGCAACCCTTTTGTCTTAATTTACAGTTACATATAGTAATCATACCATGATAATTCATACCTTTTATATTCCATGGTTATTTGAGTTTGACCATAAATGGTGCTATCGTAACTATGCCTACAAGATTCCATAGGTGACTGCAGTAGAAACAAGCTTCTGATACAGCACGAGAAGAGTTCTCCAAACAATTTTGATTCATTGTTATTCACAACAGATTATTTATTGGTTTAACTGCTAAGAAAGCATCCTTTGTGTACAGATTGGGAATAAAACATATCATCGCTTTGTCTTCTGTACTCTGACATATTGGTAGAAGGTTTTTTTCCTCTTCAGTTTTCTGTGCGAGCATCAATTTGACAACTTTCTGTCCAATTCAAATTAGCAATGTCCGTAACCATTCCCAATCTTAATGTACAGGGTGAGTAAAAAAAAAACGAAACCCAAATGTCGGGAACATTGTTTTAGTGAAGTTCTTAATGTAGCACTTCCCAAATCTATGATATAAAATCTCAATTCATACGCTTTCTTTTACTACAAGAATCATTAAAATCACTCATGTACTTTTCAAGTTGCGGATTTTTAAGTACAACCACCGTTTTAAAGTTCTGTCCACTGATCACAAAAATGTTCTTTCAGCAAAACGAAAATAAATCACAGAGGGATGTGTGTGAATCGTTTTCGTTCTGCTGAAAGAACGCACACCTTTTGTGTGATCCGTGGACAAAACTTTAAAACGGTGGTTGTGTTTAAAATTCCGTAACTTTAACATTACGTGAGTGATTTGAATGATTCTTGTACTAAAAGCAAGCCTATCAATTGGGCTTATATATCCTATATTTTGAAAGTGCTACACGCAGTACTTCACTAAAACAGTGGTCCCGACATTTGGGTTCGGATTTTTTTACTCACCCTGTATTTCTAAAAGTACAACCAAACTAATGACGCATACCATTTGACATGGTAATTGCTGATGATGATCCTTATATATTTCGGCCTGGTTTGGGACTCATGAACGGCAACCATGACAAAAGGTGGATTTATGAACTAACGAGCGGTGTTATGTGTCTTAACTACAGAGTTGTATTCAAGGCGGTCATTAGTCAAATCGTAAGTCATGTCATGTCATAAGTAACAAAGGAATGTCTTTACCACAGTTCATTTCACGGCTTTGTCGCTCGACTTGCGACTTGTCATTGACTTGTGTTTGACTTGTGATGACTTGTGATTGACTTGTAGCAGCTCTGCTGTTTTGAAGTAAAGGTAACAGTAATCGGCTTTGGTCTTACAAAATGGCGCTGTTGCCACAAAATAAACATCATCTGACGTGATTGCATTTGCAATTTTATGCCCAACAACTGCATGCAAATGTTTCTCTTTCCATTCCTACTTTTCTGTTCCTAAATGCTCTGCCCTCTTTTTGTTTTTATTAATAAAAAAGGTTATGGGTAAGCTTCATCCAGATCGCTACAGCATGCACTTTAATGAACTGCAAATAAAAGAAAGCATGAGTGTTCTTTTAATTTGTTTGTTTTGGGGTTTGTTTCTGTATAATAACTACTTCTTTTACATGATCAGGGAATTTTTGGGGGGCGGAAAGTGCGATATATTTTACCACTTGCCTGTTTCCTGTGCCATTGGAGTGAACATAAAACAGTCGTATACCAGTCAATCTTTTCAGGATGCGATTGTAATGAATGATTGTAATGTTATGATGTTGTTTTCTGGTCAGATTCGAGGTACTCCATGTCCGACGAGGATGGCAATGGTAAGCCCTCTAGAGACAGAAGTTAATTAGTTTTTTGTTTTTCACAAAGAAGGAGATGTGGTGCTTTAAATACAGTATTGAGCACTATGTGTTAACAATGAAGAAAATACACAGGAAAAGCAAAGCTCTAAGGCTTCACATAAATATTTTTATTTAAGCGGCTTTTTCACCCTGTTCACCCTGATACGCATATACATCACGGAACAAAATCACTTGCCTGTAAAGTGTAACTGGGTCGTTGGAATCTTTTTACCAACAGTGTGGCAGTTCTCTTGCATGTTTATACTCTCTGCTTTGAACAGGATTGGGTTGAACAAGTTTCGTGTATCCTCACTTTTGCCCTCAAATTTTAGACTTTATGTTCGTCTCTGTCTTTTTTTATGTTTCTGTGTAACTGTTTATGTGTTCTCAGTGTGTTGTTTACTAGCAATCGCTACATATTAACAGCCAGTCTCGCGTCTAGTTTTAGCAGCAACTGCGCAAAGAATTTGCAGATGTCGCTGCAGAGTTTAGTACGAGGGCCCAAGAAAGACGTACGGTATTGTGTTATTCGCACGGTGTTACAACTGATAATGGAGTAACCAACAGATAACGTATCACCAACTGATAGTGTTATACCTCAGTAATAGATCGTGATGATTTATTGGTCGAGAACCGAGCACGTGATGTGCCACAAACAACCATGTATCATGTTAAGGTACACCCCGTGGTACATGAGTGATGTACCCCACGAGGTAAACAATCAAAAAATGAGGTTTCAGTTGTAAAACTTTTCTCTTCGTCAAACATGCTTTCCGGTAGTTGTTCGCGTAACTCGTAGGCCTGTAGGACATTTTCGTGGTTCGTCTCCGTTTGATGTACTTCAATTTCCAATGTTTCTTCTCTTCAGTCATGTGTTTTCGTGTCTGTTCTGTCATTCACTATTTCCTTTCATTCTTTATCGCCGTCTTACGTAAATTTACCCGACGCCAGAAGTTACTAGAAAGCACTCAGAGAGCGCAAACCTCCGCCAAGGCTGAACAATTTCCCGCCATATTCAGTACACCCAAAAGAAATACTTGCATAAATGGTGACGAATCTTTAAAACAAAAACTGGATCCAGATCCAGATCTGGATCACTTCCAGAATCTAATCGATTTTTTACTTGTACCAAGGATCAACCCCCCCCCCAAAAAAAATCATTCAAATCCGTCCATTACCTTTTGAGTCATCTTGTTAACAGACAAACCAACCAACCAACCGATGAAAACATAACCTCCTTGGCAGAGGTAATAAGGCATATACCTCTAGCGCTCGATTATCAATCGGCACCTATTTGAACCAGTATTACCCACTGGTCGTGTATATATTTTAACTGTAGGCAACAAATTCACACCAGGCATTGGAGACCTGCTGTTTGTCCTGTCTCAGTTTCATTTATGGTGGCCTTCTAACATTCCAATCATTTGGAGTGATGTCCTTTATAGGCCACGTTGCCTTAAAACGACTTGGATTGGTATTGTACTTTTCTGAAAGATTTCTTCCGAAACACTACGAAACGTTGCTTATAATCACATTAATCAAGAATGTCTTAAAACCAAAAGAGAACATTGACATCCGGCCAATTTCCTGCAATACATGCGATTCTATAGCAGTTGGCCAACAAACATGCACCTCACGAAGGTCATTTTCTAAACCACGACTTTAGTCCATAAAGTTTGGTCATTTTCTGTTATTGCCGCATAAAATCCTGTCATAAAAGGCCACTGTTCGGTGTATTTACATGTGGTTTGAACTGAATTTAAGTGAATCCAGTAATGCAGATGAAGCCGAGGATACATGTTTGGTAAACGCCAAACAGTCGTTGGACGTCATCTAGTCTGGCGCCGCAGACGCCAGACGGTGTAGTTAGAATGGTATCACAGAGCTATTAAAGCAGGGAGCCACTCTTCTTTTTAAAACATATATTATGTCAGTGTGCATATTTTTTTGTTTGTCATAATACAAATATGTGACTTCATCGAATCACGCTATACAAACTGACGGCATTTTTGGCACCATTAATTAACGCCTAAAGCTTTTATATAAACCAAATGTTTTCAAAGGATGTTGAAAGTCTGCGGAAACGATAATGATATACTTTCAAAGATCATCTGAACAGCACAAAATTGAGCAGAGGCGTAGACAAGTCGTTTTTCGTATTTGGTATATAGCAAAGTTAGTTATGTATTCGAATTTGCATATTATTTGAACGAATGTTCCTCTTCCTTTAAGATTTAGTGGGATGATTCCACCTTTTGCATGTACAAGGAAAGAATACATTTGCTTTTTGCTGACTTGTGAATGCCCGGTCTTTCCAGTTCTATAACTAACACTTTGCGCCTATGTAGATAGGTATAAAATGTAGATCAAATCGATCCATTGAAACAGCACGGCAATGTTGACAATTTCCTGTACGTAAAAGAGAGGCCATTTTGAAAATTTGTGCTCCGCATTTTTATGTCAAATTGATCAGGTTTTCTTAAACATTAATCCCGTACTTCGAATTTCAATTATATAATATTGATTATCTTTAACAAAAAAATGCTTAAGTCAGCGAAATATTTCACATTTTTTTTGTATATCCGTTGAAAGAGAAACCTTTTTCATGGATACTTCTCTTCGTGTGGTTTCCAGCTGAGGTCTTTATACGTTTTTTTTTTCATTTGGCTTCATCATATCACGTCATTGCACTTTTCATCCAAGTTTTACATTTAAAACTTCACGGAACAGTCGACCTACGTACTGCTGTGCCGAACGTATCCAACACATATAGCGAGAAAAAGTCGTGTATGAAATGTGAGCGAGCTAACTTTTTGTAGGAAACGCCAACCAATTGCCTTCATTTTTATGTGAGATCATAGCTTCATGACACTATAGTTACCTGAAATGACCAAAATATCTGCAACGGTTGAAGTGTGTATGAAAACAAAGTATCAGATAGCAGGTCAAAGTCGGCCTGAGATTAATAAGAACTTCTGTCAAAATCTAAGACTTGTTATCTTTCGGTACCACTTATGTCTTTATGTTCTCAAAGTACTCTTTGTCAATTTGAATTGATTCTAGTATTGAATCTGATGAAATATTTGAAAAGCTGCTACTCAGCTGAGCTTGCTAGAAAGAAATGAAACAGGTTGACTTGTGAACAGTCAAACTGGTGCCCAGCTGACGCTGTACACGGCAGGATGTAAACTTTGACTACTTCTTTTAAGCGGTATTCTGTCTTTGCTTACGATTTGTTTTTTAATATGTAGAAAAAAGGTTGATTGTCTATGCAGTGATCGGGTCATTACTTTGTACATTAGTTAGGTGAATATTCGTATTGTATAAGACTGGTTTCTTTCCTCTTTAAAACCTAAGAAACACATTAGTTTGTAACATTTCTGACGTCATGTGACTCGCCTATGCTTCGCGTTCTGTCAGCCACTTTATGACGACTTTTGTTACTGACGATGAAAATACCATACTTTAGGTAACTGAGTCCACATTCTTTTACGGTAAACAGAAATCATTGCGGAAAATTTACATCCCCGGAGACTACGTTTAAAGGGGCAGATGAAGTACGTTCCGGAGTGGGAGGGCTATGTCTTCCTTGCAACACCTTTGTAAGTAATGCTACTGTCACTTTAAAGATGTGTCGTCCATAATGGGCAAGGGAGGCTAATAGCTTTTAAAATGTCCTTTTATTATTTGATTCTTTTTCTTTTGCGGCTACTTTGATACAATAGCTAGTTAAAAAGCATTTAATCAATTGGAACAACATTTGTGCAATGGCTTGGTAATCGAAAGTTTTGGCTGGCCTCCTTTCCAGCATGCCGAACCTGGAGGCCATGTTCCACACCGGCCTGTACATCAACGATCTCAGCATGTACGACTCGAGCAGAGACCTGGTGTTAGCTGGTACGCAGCAGTCCGCTGAACTGAAAATCGCCCTGGATCAGGTAAAGACCACTCGTCTGACCACTGAGAAGGGCTGGAAATCGAAACACCAGTCTTGCAGTCCGCTCTTCGCAATGTTGTAATTACTCCGAAATTTCTAGGTCAAACAAAAATCATTTTCACAAGTTCCTTATTCAAACATAGGTATGTAACATGTACATCGGTTGAACCATTGACCCAGAATTTCATAGCTGAGTTGCTGTGGTCCAATGGTTTCGACTCGTGTGCCGTGGTACGTGGGTTCGAATCATGATGAAGAACATGGTCCTTGTGCTCTTGAGCAAGGCACGTTACCATTATTGCTTCGTCCTTCGGATGGGTCGTAAAGCCGTAGGTCGCGTGTGTTGTGTAATGCACGTTTAAAGAACCTAGTAATACTTATCGCTAAGAGAAGGGGGTTTGCCCCAGTGTTTCTGGCACGGTGGCTGCAATATGCGCCGCAACACCTTGCAAACCATTATAAAGGTGCTACAGAATGGGTCTCATATTTTTCTCATAAATTTCATTTACCTGTCTTTAAAAATAGACATAATTACCATCGCCTTGAGTACCTAATATTTGGCAGGAACGCGCGCTATATAAGACTCCGATGTTGTTATAGCCAAGCACCAACCCAAGTAACAACAACCATACATTATTTACATGTTATTAACTCACTATGGCGTAGACGACCGTGAACCGGCAGGGCAGGCATAGTCAATCATCCTGTCACTAGAACCGGCAATAAACCCTGAGTGATAGGCTAGTTGTTTCCGATCCTTTGAGATCTATGACATCACAAACAGCCTCAAGAAGTGCAGTACCATCCTGGAATATGCAAAAACACAGCGACCCTATGTAACCGAGGGATAATGTAAAAATCATTTGTTTACGACGTGTTGATCAACTACAAGCGCCCTCTAGAGGAAGACAAAATGAACCAAAGTCAACATAGTGATGTAGCTATTACGCTTGCTACCAGAAATTATTAATTGCTACATTGAAATCAGATCAATTTTGGTTCGTTCTGATTTCTTTTCTTTTTAGGAGCTACAAAAGAGCGCCCAGCTCGAGCAGAGCATGCGCAAACTGGACCAAGAGATGAAGCGCACCGATTCGTTGCTGTACCAGATGATCCCCAAAGCTGTAGCGGATAAGCTGAGGCGAGGGGAACCAGCGACAAGCACGTGTGAGGTACATTAAGCTGTCATTGCGTTCAGACTACCAGTGCACTGGTAGTCTGAAAGCTCGCTCTCAGACAAAAAAAAAAATATTTTTTTTAAATTCTCCCTACATCATGCGCTAAAGTCTGCAACTCGCAAAGTCTGCCACAGATATAACTACATGTCATGTAACCTTTCTTCAATTCCAGTTTTTAATCCTAATGTTTACAAATTTTCCTTACCTCATACAAGGACTCGCAAAGTTTGCCAGAGATACAGACACATGTAGGTTAAGCTCTTGTTTGTTTGTTTGTTTTCCTTCCGGGTTTTCACGACGTCGCGATATTGTTCAGGGGAGCGTTTGTCTTCTCCCAGATTTACGTGAAATTTACCTCAATCATTTTGCTTTGGGCTTTTTAAAGACCTCACGATACTGTTTAATGACGTGATTGGCTTCACGCAGATCTACGTGAAGTTGCACCTCAGATTGGTTTTGCTTGCAGGTATTTAAAGACGTCACGATACTGTTCAGTGACGTGGTTGGCTTCACGCATATATGTTCACGCATTGAGCCGATGCAGGTTGTCGCCATGCTGAATGCAATGTACACGAAGTTTGACCAACTCAGTGAAGCCCACGAAGTCTACAAGGTAAGACACGGTCAACTTAAGTTCACGCTCGGGAATTCACGCACCAACTTTGTTGTACATTCACATTTCATTCACGACCACAGTTCTTATTTTGCCTCGCATTGGTATCCATTGGTATAGTGTCCCACAGTTGGATAGCTGGAACAAATTGCCTGAGAGTGCCATCCAAGTGCCCACACTACTCTGCTTCAAGCAGAATTTAAGTAACTTGGTTTTTAATGGCCAAATGAGGCCACCTTAACCCTTCCACACTTCTCTTCTACATGACGTGAAGATGGAGGTGTGGCCTTCAAGGTATGTTTTAGGTATGTTTATTGCAAATATTATCACAAGTAAGTCACAATCAGTTCACATGTCCAGTCACAAATAACGATAAAAAATAACAAAGGGATGCCTTTGTTACCTGTCATTGGAATAAGTTGGGACTTCAGTTGCGAGTGATTGACCTGTGCTGGACTAATTTCTTGCGAGAACTTAAAGGGTCCATGCAATGAATTTTTCTTTGGAACATATTTTGTGCATCTTTCTAGTTTTCTACTCCTCTTGAATGTATGGAAAGTAGTTGACATCTTTTGGTTAATTGTATTGAAAAGAGTGCTTCTTTAAAAAATATTTTCCACGCTTTTCCAGACAACTGAGGGCGATGTTGCTGTGATGTCATTTCAGAAAGGCACTGTTCAGTTTGTGGGTTATATTGTGAACCCAAAAGTTTGCTCATTGAAACATATGTGAGACAGTTTGCTCATTTGCTAACTAGCCAGACTGTGTGGTTTGTCGATGATAATGTTACCATAGGTTATTATAGGTTGCGCTGTGTTACTACGGTGCAGGCGCAAGGAATGATCGGTTTCCTTCCGAAATAATCGGCGGGATATTGTGCTTGAAAAGAGCTCCTCTATATTTCCTTTGATTTCTCGTAACTGCAGGTTGAAACTATTGGTGATGCCTACATGATCGTCGCTGGTGCTCCGCTTGCAACGAAGTTCCACGCGGTGCGTGTTGCCGAGATGGCGTTAGCTATGAAGAGGGACATTGGTTCCCTGCAAGATCCCTCAACCGGCCAGTCGTTGCAGATTAGAATAGGTAAAGACATTGGAAAACGCCGACGAGATAAGGCTGTTTTATATTGCTATAATTTTGTTTTAAAAAAAATAATAAGTACAGAAATAATATAAAAATAATCGTCATTTCAATACAAACACAGACGATCCTGAGAGCAAGTAATTTTTGGCATCACGGTAAAGTCATTGACCGTAATACGCATGCGGTAAACATATCACGTGAACGATAAATATCGTCACCGACACCACGAAGTGACCTTAACCCCCGCGAAGTGGAAAATGTGTGTTTCGAGATACAAGCGATTTAAGTTGGTGATGTTTTGAAACAGTGATCCGAATATCGCATAAGCCTCAAAATTCATATTTTTTTACATTGTCTGAAAGCTGGGATCTTGAATGTCACGTTGATGTATGATTTTTATTGAAAACAAATAATATCAATGAGTTATCAACTAATTAACCTTAAGGTCACTTCGTAAGAACTCTAAAATCAGAATACGCGCTGTTCTAGTTTTCACGAAGTGACGCTAACCATGTGTATTAGCTAATGGGTTAGCGCTACTTCGTGATGACGCCAGAAGTGAGTCGCGCGTATCACGTGACATTTGTGTTACTTCGTGAAAACGCAAAACCCGTTTTTTTGACGCGTAGTGTGCAGGCAGTTTACATGCAAAAGAATGGTATAGTACACTTCGTGAAAACGCATTTTCCGGTTTTGACCTATTAAGTTGCAAACGTTCATTAATGTTAATTAATGTTTTGACAAAACTAATTAACTATGTGTTTAGTAACTTCTTGAGGTGATAGATTATGTGTAATTAATCACAAATCAGGAAAAAATCGAAATCGTAAAATATTGATTTTTGATGTTAGTGTCACTTCGTGGTGACGGTGACGATATGTCACCTGATTCGGAATAATTTGTTATATAGCTTATATTACATGACAGTCGGTATGGTTTCGCCATTTAGCGTTTAGCGCTAAATCTTGTTGTTTTGCTGCGCGTTCCTGACACGCACGCGGAGGAATTTTAAATGTTCTTCTTTTTTTTCCAAAAAGTGAATTTTCTTTCCTTAGACCCCCTTTACACAGGGCTGCGACCTTTGGGCCTCCCTTGTGCGACCATAAAAACAGGCAGGTCGCCGTTGGAGGCCCAAAGGAGGCTGAATGGTTGCCTAGGTCGTTCAAAGGTGGTACACAGGATGTTTAGACATCGCCATGGACGCCATGGTCGCCGTAAACTTTTGAACATGTTCAAAACAGTCGCACAAGGGTCGCCGAGGAGGTTGGTTGCTCAAAGGTGTCTCGAATGAGGCAGAAGGGAGGCACAAGCATTGCCGTGGTTGCAGAATGGATGCACAATGGTCGGCCAATGGTCGCCACGTATAGATCCGTTCTGTTGGAATTTTAATCTGGGCGATGTTTCTGCCTCCTTTGGCCGACCAATAGCGTGCACTGAACGATGACTTGTGGCGACCACTGTGCCTCCATTCGGCGACCACGGCAACCCTTGAGCCACCATGGCCGTAGGTTGCACAGGGGAAGCACAGGGGAGGCAGGCAATTGGCTCAGTGGACGCACAGGTCGCTCATAGCTCGACATGAGAATGCCCGAAAATTGCAGTTTTGGTGGTTCAAGGGAGGCACAAGGATCGCTGGAGCAGTTACACAGAAACAGGATTTTCTGGGTTTAGGCGACCATTGAGTGTCCTGGCCATTTTTTGGTCGCTCATAGGTGGTACAAAGGTCGCAGCCCTGTGTAAAGGGGGCCTTAATTGCGTTTAATCAAGTCCTGATGATCGATAACATAAAAACAGGGAAGTTTAGTCCGAGAACCTTCACCCTCAGTCTGGGGATGCCGAAGTCATTCCTTTTGACACGTGGGTCTTAATGTGGTGCTACAATCACCTCGCCGGAAGTTCTCGCTAATCTGTTTTCGCTGCGTCGGTTGTCGCTGTAGTCTCAAAGTAGTACGCTGGAACTTCAAAAGATTAGTGATCGGAAATCCAACTTGAAAGTTTATTTCCCAAGGAATCGAGAAAAAGAGATGAAGCTGGTTTAAAGGGCCTTTTAATAGATCAGGCCATCATCCAAACCACTTTTTCTTTGTCAACAGACTTGGATTTTACCCGATTTTCCGCTTGACGCTATCCAAATACCACATGCGGTGAAACAAGATCTCCTGAGGCTTTTGCGGTGTGTTTTATCCTGTATTTGAATAACGTTTGGTCGAAACTCTACTTTAAGAGGCTTCACAAGGGAGATTGTGGTGCTTTACAAATTCCACCAGAGGTGCATTCAAATATGACCGCGAGCGAAGCCAACGCGATGCGGTCGTTAAACTCTCTTTTCTCACATCGGTCGACCAGATGAGCAGTCGGCACTTTATCTCGCTATTATCGTTTTACTGTGGTACAATATTTATTTCTCTGATGCCAAAACACGGAGTAATCCGTTTGCAAATGCTATTTATGCAGAGATTTGTCACGTATTACTTCGGATGGCGTAGATCACATTTTGGTGCGTGTTTGTCCGAGGAAATTCTAATGTCGAGTCTAGTAATGGGCCCAGGGTACTTTTGGCAAACACCAGAAGACATTTGTTTGTTTTTTTTTAATATTTCCATGCGTGCAATGATACATTGATACGTTTAACTTTTATGATTTAGGTCACAAGCGTAATCAAGAGGAGATCGAAATGGCCACGTGCTTCTTCCAAAATGCCACACTATAGCACTGAGTGTTCTGGCCGTGCGCCTCAAGCGTAGGTGCCAGAATGTTGGACTTTAGTCGGATTAATGGTGTCCAATACAGACCGTGGCGTATCCAGCGGGGTGGGGGGGGGGGGGCAGGGGGCAACTTGCTTCCCCCCCCCCCCCTCCAAACGCGGGATTTTTGTTTTTTAGTAACTATTTCCATAAATGATATAGAAAGGTCTGACATGAACGACAAATAAAGAAAACCAAGCCCAAAAAACAATTACAATGCGTCAAAATGTCAGCAACAAAAAAAATGACAGCACGTAGATTTTGAATGCTGAATCCGCAAAGACTTTCGATTGTGCCCCCCCCCCCCCCATTTTCAACAAACGATGAACGCTCGAGGACAGCAAGGAATCTGTTGTTATCCCTTTGTCTGTCTGTCCTCGGGGTGAATTAATACATGTACGCCTTTGCGTATACGTATAAGTGCTGAGAAAACCAAGTTGCAATTTATGTGACAAAAATGCTCAATGCAAAAACGCAATCCGACATATCTGGTACATCATTTTCAAGAATTTTAGGTTGATATATTTAAAAAATAACTGTAAGAAATTTTGAGCGAGAAGACAGAAATTCGTATGTGTTGTTCCCGTGTCAGCCGGCTTTTACACAACTTTCTCTTGTCACGTATGAGAAGAACGCACGAAGTGATGGCTCCGCACGTTAAATCAAAAGGGGATGCATGAAACAGGCATGAATTTCAAACGTGCCGAAAATCTTTATTGACGTAAAGTTTACAAGTTACTATCTCATTCCAAAACTAAATTATTTTTGTTTACAGTTTTTGATTTTTTAATTAAAGAAAATTGCTAAACACTTCTTTAACAAACCTGATAGTGAATCATGTGTACCCACAAAATGGCGTTGTTTATAAAGGCAACATAATTCGCTCCAAAATACATCTATTGAGCAATCTTGTTTCGATTCGCAGGTATCCATTCGGGGATGGTCGTTGCCGGAGTGGTCGGCCTGAAGATGCCCCGCTATTGCCTGTTCGGTGACACGGTCAACACCGCCTCGCGTATGGAGTCCACGGGTGAAGCAATGAGAATACACCTCAGCGAGTCGACACGGGACTACCTGGAACAATGGCCATTCTATATCCTACTAGAGAGACCAATGCAGACAGAGGTCAAGGTGAACAGTTTATTCAAGTTTAAAGAGGATATGTTAAGAAGGAGTCCATCCTCCTTGCACAAGAATTCTCTCCACTGTTGTAAAAGAGGCTACGCCCCAATTTTAGCAATGGCCCCGACTACATGAGTTGGGATCGCCCCCACAAAAGTTGGGATTCCCCAAATATATTTGGGGCCATTGCTAAAAGTTGGGGAATCCCAACTGTAGTTGGTACGGTGCTGTAGTTGGGGCGTAGACAGCGATAAGGTAGATGTGAATACTGCCGTGTCCGAACAGGCTTCCAGAGCTCAGGCTCCAATGGGTGCAGACCTAGACCTGGCTCTAGACAGCTGATTCGGATGCGGCCGGCCATTGCTACATTATGCTTGGCGCCCACGCGAAGACGTCTTGGCGTTGTGCACATTTAGATCAAGATAAGATGAGCGTGCTTCGAGTTAATACGCGTGCGTACCGCGCCGGTGTGCATACGCGTCTGTTTATACGTTGTGCCATGTGCCCAGTTTCACGGAGATTGTATGTATTACCTAGCAAAGATACCTGCTTAGCAAAAAATGAGATATTTTGGCAGGAAACCTGTTTTTAGGCAAATATTTTCCGTGCTTAACAACTACATGTGCTTAGCAGCTTTATGGTATCGGCTTCTGCGCACTACGGTCGTCGTGAGTTGTCACACAGCACCACCCACTGCTACTGCATTGCCTTACCATTTGTGCTTTGCAGAGACAGGGTGTCAGACCGGTCCGAATAACGCTTTGTTAAATGAGTGATGACTTTTTGGGGGTGGGGGGGGGGCTTTTCTACTACCCTAGCTAGCTGGTTTCCCTTGCTAGACGCCAAAAGGATTTTCCACTCTCTTTGCTCTGTTTACGACTCTCCCAATCTCCTTGCCTGCTATTAGAAACACTCTCTCTCAGCACTTAATACTCACGATTTGGCCAGTTGACTTTCTCACGCGTAACTCTCCTTTCTTTCTTACCAGGGCAAAGGTCACATGAAGACGTACTATTTGATGGGGAAGGAGGCGGTGGATGACTCGGACCTGCCCGCCGGTTTCTCTGGGGACGAACACATGAACGCCTCAAGGAGCTCCCTCAACTCATCCACAGAGTCACTCAGAAGGTACATGAAAGTATCAAAATCTTGAGGGCGCTTTAACGACGGAATGAGGGCGCTCTAACAACGGAATGAGGTCACTGTAACGGCGCCATTTTCTGGGTACAAACAGTGGAAATTTAAAGTTTAATGGGAGCAATAATCATTTAGAAAATTTATTTCAATATGAGAATTGATGAAATTACAAATATATTGTTAAATCATAGCAACAATGCAATTTTTATGTCAATAGCCCGGAAGTGCCACGTCTGTTTGTACCCAAAAATGGCGTCACTACAGCGCCCTCGTGTGCTCAGAAATGGCCAATTGCTGGTCACAACTTAACTCGAGATTGGTCTGGATAATATAACGCCTATGCCTGAAAACCAGCACATCGCAGTAAAAATTGCACCACAGCAAAACAAAAGTAGTGTTATGTGCTCGTATCTGCTTTTGCCATGCCACCTTCTGTTTTTGCATGTTAGCACACTTCACTTTCAGTGTTGCTGTAGTATTTTGCTCTATAATGTTGCGAAATGAATGCGCAATGTGGCGATCTTAATAACAACGGACAAAAACTAGTTTGTACATTCAGACGCCCTGCGCCCGCCCAATTTGGTCATTTTTATTACAAGCTATATACTTTTTTTGGACAAGTCAGATTTAAGACCAAACGTGTACTGGTCTTTTTTTTAATTTCGGCTACAGGCAGTACATAGTCTTGGCCAGCAGCTGTACAGAATTATTATTAACCGGCACCAGTTGTAATGTTTCTTCATGGGCTTGGATTTCGAATACTTCTTTTTTAGTTATTTTTTTATCTTAACTTTGCTCGTAATTTTGTTTCCCAGACTCCTGAAAGTCAAGTGATATATGGTATGTACTGACCACTGATGCTTTTGACTGCCAATGAATCAGAACGTAGTAACCAGACTAAACCTGTTCAAACCAGTTCAAACTTGCTCGAACCTGTTTATATACCAATTCTATCCGGTCCCCATGCATTTAGCGGGCATCTTCTTAACCATTCATATTTGGCTATGTTTTTTCATTGCTGTCACTGTATGCTTCAAAGGATTAACATGTTCGTGTCTGTAAGTGTAAAGTCACGTGATCGTGACGTCATTTCAAATGTTTACGCTCGTGGCGGGCTACCTTGAACGTTTGCTTTGTTTTCTGTCTTACATAACACCGGGCTGCTTGGGCGTGCATGTTTCCATAGCGAAGAATGTTTTATTCGCTTCCTTGGTGGTATTTTTTTCGGTTCAGTCTTGTAATGCGTTTTCGTTTTTAGGACAAATACTAACACCTTTTTTCCGTTGTCATTGTACTAAAAATGTCCCACTAACGTAAACATTTTCGCAAATATCCCTAATTTTGGTGGCCCGGTTCTAGATTTGGGTAATGGGTGCAGCTCAGTAAATAAACTCTCATAGACACCAGTGATAAATCCCCATACTTCAAAATTCTTTTGAAAATACTAAAAACTCTCACAGGTGTTCAGGCTGCACAGAAGCATGATTATAAATAAGGTCGTCTTTAATTTCCTTTCAAATTTTGGTGGGTTGACCATTGACTTTTTTAGAAATTCTCAGCCAAAGAAGTCCACCCCTAAAACGAATGATATTTCCCAAACTGTAAAAGTAGCCATTTTGAAAAGGGATCCCTCCACAACATGGCTAAAAAGCGCCACTTTCGGACCCAGTTGCATCCGAAAAGCCCAGCATTGGCAGCCGCAAGTCCAGGCCAGAGGTGCAGTGCCATATATGTCTCCAATCCCCCAATTCCATGGTTCACAGAATTCTCTAGTATGGAATAATTTGAATGTATAACTTTAATCGTGAGCTCGGCGGACAGATGTTTTTTTGCATAGTATTTACAGGGTTGAACCCTTAGGGGGCCGGCTGTGTTTATAAATGATTGTGTTAACTAAGGATAGTTCATGTAGATATATTTGTAGAAACGTGAGAGTCTATAACGGGGTGAGATATACATTGTAGTTCGAAGTTCTGAAGTTAAAGTGGTTGCTTGCGTTTTCTTGGTGTTTTGTATGTTCTTGGTTATACAGAAATATTTATCTCTGGTAACATTAACTTCCATGCATGGTGAAAGCCAAATTATCTTTATCATTCTACACCAAATTCTTATATTTATTATTCACTCCAAGTGAATAAGTCTTCCACAGCTGATCACAAAAACTTTAATACATTTTGTTATGTTGACTAAACGACATCGGTTGATAATGAAATGTAAAATTGAATTTTTTTTTTTTAACTTTTGTCTCCCTCTTTGGCAGTGCAATTAGTAAAGGACGGGGATCGTTCGAGGGTGGAGGTCATAGGTCACTGATGTCTCCAAGCTACACCCCGGTCAACCTAGACGCGGACCGGCCGCGTTCAGTGCTTTCAGGCATCGTAGAGAGAGACACTCTGGAGGCGCCCAACCCGCACGGCTCTCACCGGCGCATAGAGGGCGCCACCTCGCCCAAGAACCGGCACAAGGAGAACGCCGCCCTTAACGTCAACAACTCGCGGGGGAGTTCAGAGGTCACGCACGACGTGCCGGTTGTGAAGATCCGGGATGAAATGAGGGCGTCGTTGGAGGAGAAAGTGAACAACAACCTCTTCGACCCGGGCAAGAACCAGACCAATCTGGACCCGGTGGGCGGTGCCGAGATCAAGCCGCCCGCAAACAATAACTCCTCCCAAGAGGTGGGCACGCCGAACGATTACAAGTCCAACGTGAAGAAAGGCAACGTGTCGCCCATCAGCAGCACGACAAACTCGCACGTGCAACACAGCACAACGTGTGTCCTTATTTAGGCCAAGTGCAGTTATTCTCAAATTATTCAAAACGTCAGATTTATAAGAGATAGTTTTTTGATAATGAGATGCGATGTCACACTTCAGACATGCGCACCAAGTCCGGACTCGTCGCACAAATACGCATGCGCAGTATAGCCGGATTGGGTTACCTTTTTCCGGAATGTGGCTGGGTCCCATTCTCTTGTCTTAAGCTTTTGTCTTGGACTTTTACGGTTACGCATACAAACTGCCTACACTACGCAGCCGTAGCTCTGGAAGCCCGTTGCGGTCACGGCCTGTCTTAGTTTGTTCTGAACGGAACCTTACGATTTGCACATCTCCCTTGCTCAATTTCACACCTATAGTCGCACCTGACCCTATATTCTGTTCTCGGCACTCGGTATGTTGTGTGCGGCACTTCACAATTCCAAAGAGTACAATGTATCGAGCAAGCACTTAATGCTATGCCTACAGGTGTAAACACGCGAAAGACTACAAAAAACGGTCTTTTTTCCACAAAAGTCCGACATTTTACCTGTGAGGCTTTACATGTACTGATTAATTTCCAGGTACCATGCAAGCCCCACTCATATATTTCAGAATAACTCATAATACAGACCTATTAAAGCCTACGGTATACAAGTGTATACGTTTTTGTATCCCTTCCTGGTTTCTAAGATCCCCAGTAACGGCATTGTATTCAAAGTACAGGGCGAGTTTAAAAAAAAAAGAAAAAAAAAGCGAAACCCAAATGTCGGGACCATTGTTTAAGTGAGGTTCTGCATGTAGCACTTTCAAATTCTAGGATATGAAAGTCCAATTCATAAGCTTTCTTTTAGTACAAAAATCATTCAAATCACTCATGTACTCTTCAAGTTACGGAGTATTAAACACAACCGCCGTTTTAAGGTTCTGTCCACGGATCACAAAAAGTTCAGTGTTCTTTTAGCAAAACGAAAACAAATTACATAAGATTGTGTGTGAATTGTTTTCGTTTTGCTGGAAGAACGCACACCTTTTTGTGATCTATGGACAGAACTTTAAAACGGTGGTTGTGTTTAAAACTCCGTAACTTAAAAAGTACATAAGTGATTTGAATGATTCTTGTACCAAAGGAAAGCTTATGAATCGGGCTTTCATATCCTAGATTTTGAAAGTGCTACATGCAGAACTTCACTAAAACAATGGTCCCGACATTTGGGTTTCGTTTTTTTTTAATCACCCTGTACACGTATTCGAAATCAGTAGGCCTAGTGTGGCTCACCACAATATATAGTTATCATGAAATGTTACGTTTCATTGTGGTCAGATCCCGCAAAAGTAACAGGTTTGCAAATCACTTTGTGAAAAAATGTATAGGTTTACCAGCTCAGTGCCCTAGACCGCTAGCGATATTGTACATTTCCAACCATGAGAGATCAGTGTACGTTTTCACATTATTTCACAGGTGAATTGAAGTAAGAAAACTAGTCGGATCTCAAAATTCCTAAGTAACATTGAAGTTAGCATTTTCAAATTTGATCGTCAAACCTCTTTTATCTTGTTCGTATTCCTGAGTTGTTGCGGTGGGGTTTTTTTCAGATTGATATGCAACCCAGTTGAGCTGGAACATTTCAGATTGATATATAAATATACGCAATTACACACATAAGGACTACACTCATCTATTTAGGGTCTTCTCTGAATACTATACTACTATATCTTCAGTTATGACTCGAAGGTACAATTGTACAACTTCATACGCAGGCCTACGTTATCGACGAACAGCTTGGCCCTTAGTCTCTGTTAATTCACATTGTGTGCCTTCTTGTAGGGAACTGGCCTTTCAGAAGAGCGTTCCCCTGAAGGTGAATAAAAAAGATTGGGTAATTAATTTCTGAAGACCAACCATTAGAAAACGTGTAGAGACTGCATCTGTTGATAGACCCTTCGTTCTTACACTGAAGCCCATTTACATTGCAAAAAAGAGATGCACATAATAGACAGACAGTAGGGCCACTCGTTTTACGGACCTGAACGCTTTATAGCAAGCTTGGTAAGCTTATGCTAACAATTAAAACTAGAGTTATAATGTCGCGATACCGAAGATACTCCGTCTACTATATAGTCTTTACTCAATATTCTTGCACTTTGTGCCCTTGATATTTTGTTTGATGATCCGTAATCCACGGGAGAATAATTATTTTGTAAATATGCAGTTTAAGGGAAAAGCATAGAATGATTGACCAAGAGAGGGCGCCTTGACCGTTATTTTTTAGAGTATTATATTTTCTTGTGACTTGTGGGGATAATGGCTTTACGTAACAACGCACGATTGCATATTAAGATGTACGATTTATGTTTCTACACCAACGCACCCGAGTGTGTATTTGCCTGCAATCGGGGACCCCCTATTGTCCCTCTTTTGTTTGTACTTTTTAGGAAGACCTCCCATATGTTTTGTACTCTAATCCAAATAGGGGACCTCTCGGAAATTGGGGACCCTATTGTGCTCTGTTGTTCAACGTCCCTTATTGAATGCAGAAACAAACTCACGGTTTTTCTAAAAGAAAAAAAAAAACACTTTTATTCTCACTTATTTACCGGAAAGTTTTTACGTCAAAACATACATGCACGCTTGGTAACCGCATATTGCCTTCATTCTACAAGTAGAGATTATGTGTTTTTAATGTTTATTTCTTCAGATAAGATAGCCTTGCTTATCTGTTGTGTGTCCTTTGTTAAGAAAGCAGGAGAACCTCATTTTGATGGAACAAACCAATTTTCAGCTGGAATTGGTATTATTGTATAGCCCCCTTGCCGTTTTATTTTTACGCTAGAGATTTTGATTCGCACAATTTACTCTGGTTTCGAACAAGTTGTGTGCAACCATTATATCGTAAGACTATACTTTCTTTTCAGATGCACATGTCTTTAACAGAGAAACGTTAGCTGATCAGAGTTTATTTTATTTTATTTTAATTGAACTGAATTATCTGGTTCTGTTTCATTTTTGTCACAAATTGTAATGATTGAAATCGTTTTAATAAAGTAACACCAGTTGGGGCCGATTTGTACGTTGGAAGGTGTATATTGTACCTAATTGAACTGTAAATATTGTTCACATCTGTTGTAAATTTTATAGATACGGGTACCCTGATAACTAGTCAGTTAGTTATTACATTGATTACCAGCGAGGCTCCTCTCAGTTCATCCAATTTTTGTTCCGTATGTATTATACGGCCTTTGCGCATGCGTCACTACGAGAGTCGTTCCTAGACTTCGTAATTTGATGAAGTAACCTAGATCAAAGTGCAACGTGAGGAGCTAAATCTTCGGTTAACGCATCATAAATTGGGGGAAACAAATTTAAATGGTTTGGAAGATCTTAACAGTGTGCTTTCATTACAATTTGGAAATACCAATAATTTTGACTTTTTTCCCTTTTTTTTTCTTGAACCACATCTAGCTAATCGTGGTGAATAATAATGTAAACTTTGGTCTGATATTTAATGAGCTGTGTAGAAGGAAACGTTTTCCCCATTAAAAATTTCACTGAAGGTTTCATTTGTTGCACATGATAAAGAGGTAGCATTGGTGTAGATCACTAGTGATCGATAAATACTTTTTATTGACTCTGGTTTTGCTGTCCTCGTTTCATTTTTCGATTGCTTTCAAATGACGTGAATGCTGTCTCTTTTTACATCGATTCGTACTCTTTAAAAACTGCGGTGTAATATTAACACCATGCGGTACGTGTATTGATGGAACCAGTGTGCGACAGGTTTCACGACTAGCACCCCCGATATTCGTTCTTGCCAGAATAACACAAACAAAGTCCAATGTTTAAAGGATGGTTGTGGGGATGTTTATATCCTACTTTTAAATGCCCTTTCCGATTATTAATATCATTTCGTTAAAAACGCGTTTTGTAGACCAATTAGGCGCTTTCCAGGATGTAGTGTCCCATTAGTTTTTCACGGCGGATTTTTGGTTGCACGAGCGTGCCCAGGTACGGTCTCTATTGGGCGTTTTAATATTTACTGGTTGACAAAACCCACTCTGGTTGTAGCGTTGAAATAGGCCTATACGCATTATTCACAAGTTAACCTGAAAGGGTTTTTACTTTCAATATTTCACAACTTTGTAAACGTAAAGGATTTTCAATCGTTTGTATAAGTGGTATGTTTGGAATCGTTTGTATAAGTGGTATGTTTGGAATATGATATATTTGTATTCTTTATTTTTGTTGCTAAAGGGGACTAAAAAGCCATCAGGGTCATAACAAAACTGTCTTCTTGAATAAGTCAGTTCGGTATTCGTCTAGGTCAAAGGTCATTCGGGATAAAATCGCTGACGTGATATTACGCGATGTTACGCGATGTCACGCGACCGCCAATTCTGCTCGTACTTAACATGCGAGCGTAGGGCGCCCGTCTCCATTGTGCGCGTTATGCGCCTTCGATGCGCGTTCGATTATCCCGAATGACCCGTGACCCATATCATTGTGCGCATGCGCAGTTGGAATACCGAACTGACTTATTATCCTCCTATTCGACGATTGGTCTCGGGGGCAGTCAGTATTTAGCTTCAAACGAGCACAGGGTTTCACCAAAATTAGCCTTTTTTCAATACATATGAAACAAAAGAAATCATGAAGCAAATCATTTTAACATATTATTCTTTCAATGTTAAAGATGGCATTTCCTTAGTATCTGTTTGAATTGTGAGACTTGGTAGATCCAAGGTAATGTATTTTATGTTTAAAAAAAACCTGAATTTGAATGCAACATTGAAAAGCCGACGGGAGAAATATTTGAACTTTGTATTAATATGGAAAAGTAACTTCCAAACTACACTTTGACATTTTACTGATCTGCATCATCCAGAATATTTATTATTGACTTCCCATTTCAGCGCACAATCCTGATTTGAAAAGGTGTCATTTCTAATAAGTTAGTTTGAAAAGAAAGTCTTTAATAACATGATCACTTTAAATTAATTGAAATAAACAACTATTTTCAAGTCATAGAGACGCAATTTACGTTTGTTAATTTTATTGTGTTGTATTTTAAGACAATCCCGATCGCGTCGAGTAATATATTACTTTGTTCAAGCGGCCGCGGATCCGTGCCGTTGAGAATACACTGAATTAACAGTCTTGTCGAAATACGTTATAGTACGCAATGAAATTGTTTCTCCCCTTCATGTGTTTACATCACTCAAAAATGAATACTTCCCGAAAATCCTGAAACAAAATAATCAACATCGTCAATAAGCCAGTTCGGTATTTCAACTGCGCATGCGCAAACTGATATGGGTCAAAGGTCATTCGGGATAATCTAACGCTCATCAAAGGCGCATGAACGCACAAGGAAACAGTCGCGCAACGCTCGCACGTTAATCCGGTTCGTTAGTGTGACGTCATCATCTCAATTCAACCATGCGTACTTCACACGGTGTAGCATAGCACGAATGGAAGCGGAAGTTAACGCAGCTCAGCAAGCGTTTATCCAATGGGCGCCAGTAATCAGTGGAGCGCGCGCGTGTATGACGTTTTTACTAACGAACCGGCTTACGAGCAGAATGGGCGTGCGCGTAACATTGCGATTACAAGACGCTTCCATTTTATCCCAAATGACCTTTGACCTGGACAACTCTATCCAGATACCGAGCTTGCTTATTGATTTTATATACCACAAGGGTTTAATTTCGCATTGCAGATCATGTAATAAATTAGTCAAAAGGAATCGTCTTTCAGTCTTTGGTGTATAATACACTATGTATAAATAGATGAGACCCCCAAAAAAGATTAATATCATCTGCTGATAATGCAATAATCTGTAAAGCCAACAACAGCATCTGGAAAACCTAACTGAAAAAAAACAATAACCAAAACAAGAATGATAACTAAGAATAACAACAACATAATATTACTTGGTGTAACAAAGATCGTAGTACAAAAGCGGTGTTTGATTTACACCATGTAATATGAAATATTCATCATGCATCATTTCGTGTAAAATTGTAAAAAAAAAAATAGAATCATAACCCCTTTGTTTTTAATGATACTAAACATTTTCAGTAAACAGTAAAGTATGACAGAAGCGATATATTTTTTGATAACATAGATACAAAGTACAAACAAGTGCTAAGTGATTAGTTGATTTTTTGAAGTTCTTACATGCAAATTTCATGTTGTTATTCTTTCTCTCTTTTTTTGGTTCCGTCCACATTTTAGAGTACTTAGCTTTGTACAATACATCCCTTTTTCGAATCACCTAAAAAAGGATTCATCACATGTCATTATCGGCCTCTGATGACCTGTTTCTCTGAGTAATGATGGTTTCCAACAGTGGCATTGCTTTTTCCTTCTTGAGAAATGTTCTACAGTTTGTCGTCCTCTTCTTCTTCTTCTTCTTCTTGAACTCTGACAGATTCTTCTTTTTCATCATCCGGGACGGGCTGAGGGACAGGCCGGGTGCCTATGACGCAACAGACTAACAGCAGAGAAATGGTCTGAAATTGAGGAGAATAAAAAATTGAGACAAGAGCTCACAAAGTCAAATCAGCGTCAGGAACAGCTTACTTATTATTCATAGCATTGAATAATGCATGAACCTACCATTGTTAAGAACGCTCGAATAATTATTCATAGTGTTGAATAATGCATGAACCTAACAACGTTAAGAACTCTCGAATAATTATTCATAGTGTTGAATAATTCATGAGCCTTCCAGCGTTAAGACCTTTCAAATAATTCCTATTCATTGAATAAGTCAAGAAACGAAGAAAAATTGGAGATTCTGAGTTGAAAATATTAACTGGCCAATGAAATCAAGTACTCTGTACACGTGATTTTAATATATTGTGGTTCAAGTTTTCTAAAGCCTGCGTCTGTATCCATTTTTGAAATCACGCGACCAATAAACAAGAATGCGTGTTATGTGCTTTCATTGGCTAGTTAATCTTTTAAGCTCAGCACGTAGCTCAGATTGCCCGCTCGCGGTGCGTTTTTGTGCCTCTTGAGGCCAAAAAAAAACAGAATAGATATTTGCCTCGCGACCTCGCAAGGCAGAAAACTCAGCAAAAAAATACCGCACACAGGGATTTTATGAGCTACGTGCTGAGCAAACGGCCTGGAATGACTTTGTTTTCAGTACGCAGCTCAGGTGAGCGGCGGGCTAAAGAGCCTCAATTTATTTAGTCGTTTCTCCGACTTAAACTATACCTCCCTCCCGCAACTATGTTGTCCGGTTTACAAGGGGGGAAAAGTGTCGATTCTTATGAATGCTTTGAGGTATGAGATGAATTCGATTCATTGTTCAGTATTGGCTAGCTATGTGCAAAAGCATTAGCCCTGGCCTTAATAATTATGCGCTTGTACCTTTACCGGATCGTATTGTTAACCTTTGCATGGGTGCACAACTTTTGTTCAATTCATCACGATACACAGTGCATTTGCCTAGAAATGCATGGAGAGTCACACACATGCAGTCACCATCGGTGGGTTGTATTGCATACAAACTCTCCTCGTAAATCCAAATGGAGTTATCCATGAATGTTGGTGTTACAGTTACGGAAGTATACCCTGTTTTACTGGATTAAAAACAAGCTATGAAATGCCATCGATGTGATCGTACGGGATTGAGGATTTTTAACACCAACCACAAGGAAGTTTGGCGAGCACTCATTTCTGGAACCATATACCATTCAAATGAAGACTACTTTACGACATTGAGTAGGCCTACACCTCGAAATGTCTCACTATCCACATGGAGTTATTTCGTTTGGAATATACAAAACATTGGAATATCATCTGAGAAGTGTTGATCGGTAAGTTTCTGTTGCAGTCAATTTGATTAATTCAGTTATTTATCCATTCTCTATATTATCCACGGATTGTCCTTTGTGTTTTTATTACGGGCCATTACTTAAATAACAGAGGAAGAGTTATGATAAAACTGAAAGTAAATGGGTTAGAATTAGATGTGAATGTAAAAAATTTGAAAAAAGTGAAATTCAGTGAAAAGCTTTACAACGGTAATTTTAGAAAGAAAAAAAAGCAAAGACAACCGATAAAATTTAAGTTACAATTTTAACATTAAAATATAAAACTAACATTTAAAAATAGCCCCATAAATGTGGCAAATTTACTGGACTTCCTCCGTAAATAAAGGCCACCATGTACAAAAACATGTCGAACTTTGTAAAATTTTGATTTTCACATTTAGGCTTAGTTTGTAGGGTTTTTTTGCTTTAGAAGCATACTCACCCTCTTTATAGGCTAATCAGAAAGTGCTGCCTTTTTCAGATGTCTAATTTTCGTGAAATTTCATGTTGAAATATTGATATATAAATAAACTACAAACTAAGCCTAAATGTGAAAATCTAAATTTGACAAAGTTCGACATGTTTTTATACATGGTGGAAGTGTGGCCTTTATTTACGGAGGTAGTCCTGTAAATTGGCCACATTTATGGGGCTAATGTAAATATAGAATAAGAATTAAAATGTAAGAAGTATTAAGTATAAAATAAAAATGAAAAGGGAGAGCAGTTCATACTATTTCACTATAAATGACGGTCTCTAATCGCCTACGAAAATAAAATAAAAATATCAGAGCGGCAAATTGAAAACTGCAAAGAGAACAATCAGTTGTGTAAACAACATTCAAGAATTGACCAAAATGCTACAAGGCAACGTTAAAATAGTACACCGTAAACATTCCTTAAATATACGTCGAAAATTTTACGGAATTACTCTGTAAAAAGCAGGGTTTTTTTTAGAGGTAACTGTAGCTGCAGCAGATGCAGGGCATATTTTTTTCCGTATTTTGCTCAAAGTTCTTTGACCTTTCCGGGATTTTTTACGCCATGGTGATACACCGTTAGTATGTACACACTGTAAAAGACTCCTTAAATTTACGTTGACAATTTTAGTTATTAAAATCAGGTACATGTCCAACTTTTTTCGACAAAATACCCAAAACTCGTCGGGCCTACATTTCACACATAAAAACTGAAATTTCAAAGTGGACGGTTACTTTTCAAATTAGATAATCCCATTTATGCAGGAAATTGTTTGCAGGGACTATCACAACAAAACCTGTGAATTCTCAAAATTAGTTGTAGATCCTGTGGACCAATCGACACTTCACTAAATCGAGTGACGTTACAAGAGTAGTTTAATGACAGTGTTGTAGTGCAGTCGTACTCGGTACTCGTACTAGAGAACTACTCGCGACGAGTACTTTTTTTTAGAGTACTCGTACTCGAATGTCAATGTACTCGTACTCGAAATGACGGTACTCTTAATACTCGGGCAGCAAAGTACTCGTACTTGACATGTCGAAATTGTACTCGTACTCGAACAGCAGTGCTCAAAAACAAATGGTGCACGTCCGGACAAACACATGTAACAGCTAGCCATGAGTGGGTCTGTATATTGGTCTAACTGGGCCTGGACCAATTACGCTCAACGAACCATTTGCCGTATGTCCGTATTCAGAAATAGAAGTACTCGTTTACTCGTACTCGTAGTCGGAATACAAGCACTCGTACTCGAAAGAACAAGTACTTGTACTCGGAGACCTGAACTTGTACTCAGATGTACTCATTACTCGGTACTCGGAAATAGGTACTCGACTACAACACTGTTTAATGCATGAGCCTACCTCAAGCCCAACCATGATGAAGGAGATCATGCCCATCAATGTCATGTTATCCGACTGGAAATTCGCAAGGGTTTCGCCGCATCCCTGATAAAAAAATCAAACAATTAAAACCATACTCAGTTGAGACATCGTGCAAAACATCGCAGGTACTAGGTAAAAGCATATTGCACATAAATTATATAACCCCTTGTTTCAGAGCAAGTCGCTTGTTTCTTGGAACTTTGAAGGCTCATAAGCGAAGCCCGAGCCCATCCATGTCTTATGCAATTTCGTTTTACAGAGACAATTTCACAAAGACGTAAAAGAAAGGGGAAAGAATCAATTCACCGCCGGTGCGCCACCAAGAGGTCTCAGTCGAGAGGCCATTTTGTTTTCGCAGTGCATTCTGGGAAATGGTCGCCTTCCGTTTTTGATATTACCAATTGCACGTAAGGGACAGACTCAGAACGGCTTACACGTTTGGACGTCCGAGAGAAATGTCTGAATATTTTCTATAATATTCCTAGCCCTCTTATCTCGGCAAAGTTGTCCTTCCAGTCAAAATCACTGGTGACTGTTTTCAACTGTCAAGAGCTCCTAGGACTAATTGACTGTGACTGTTTATGTAACTTGATACATCTATGCTTTTGACTGTAGGTGTTTGGTTGTACTGCGCATGACTTAGAGAACATAATGGCAATGGCAGGTCACGTGTGGGGGTTAGAGTCCATTTAAGGCAAAAGAGACCAGAATATTTCCTGGGAGCCAAAACTTCATACTAAACCGGCTTCTTCGAGGCAAACACTTGGAACTGATGGGTACACCCAATCAAATATATTCCCATAGACTACAGTGACAAATACCAGTACGTCATCTGTCATTTTTTGTTTCAATTTTTGGTGGGTTGACTGCTAAAACTAGGGAAGTTTCCCAAAGAGGAAAAGTAGCCATCTTTAAAACGGATCCCTCCACAACATGTCTAAATAGCGCCACGTTTGGGCCTGATTGCATCCAAAATGCTCTGAATTGGAAGCGCAATTCCGGCTGGGCCAGAGGTGTATAGGCTATTGTCATATCTCTTCAATTCCATGGCTCTCAGAACTCTCTAATATAGAAGAGTTTTCAAGTGTGTAACTTTTATTCGTGGGCTCGGTGATACAAGATGAACGCGGAATGTGCAAACTCTGAGACTAACACAACATAGTGTACAAAAGAGGCGTCACTACTCGCAAACGGCGATAGGTCAATTGTGAACAAAATGGCGGGCACCCATTATGGTTAACTCACCGAATCGAATACATCCTCTGGCTTTGCTGGTTGGCCGGGCTTTCCGTAGTTGCAATCAGTCGGCATGTCGGGTTTGCAGCAAGAGAGAGGTACGGCCAGGTCCTCGTTTCCCGTCAGAGTTAAGAAGTAACTGCTGTTCCAGTCACCCGGGCCCGACACGCCGCAACATTGCTCCTAATAACAGACGTACAAAACTTAATAACAATACCGGAGTCTTATATAGCTCTACCAACAATTAGGTACTCAAGGCGCTAATCAATATGAATTTATTTGAAGACAGGTAAATGAAGTATTTGAAGTACTATGAGACACATTTTATGTAGCACCTTATAAGGGTTTACAAGGTGCTGCGGCGCATCCACTGCCAGATACACCGGGGCAAACCCCTTCTCTTAGCGTAAGTGTTACTGTGCATTACACAACACCCGGGATCTACGGCTTTACGTCCCATCTGAAGGACGAATCATAATAAGTGTCTTGCTAATAAGGACACAAGACCGGGAACCGAACCCTCACTCTGCTGATCAGAAATCACCAGAGCTTGAGTCCGGTGCTCTTAACCGCTTGGCCATGACACTTCACAATTTCAAACTCACACCAGAGTGACCAACTGTGTTAAGATACCTACAACAAACATTGTTTGTAACGACTCGGAAAGATGTTCATGAAAAGTTTGTAAACCGAGGCAAAATGTGTGCGGTAATGTAGTCACGGGGTATTTATCACAAATTGCTATAAATCTGGGTAAACATCTCAAGTATGGTGCTCCATATGTGCCATCGGCGTCGCATTTTTGGGCGTCGCATTTTTAAGCTCTGGCAGGGATCGTATTTATAGATGTCATGCAAGACTTTCAGGCAAGAAGAACAGAGCTTATTGTGCACTCGCACTTGTTTTGCATTATTTCTGTTCCTGAATATTGGCCAAAATAAGTCCAGAAGTTTTCCACAAGAGAGTTAGAGTCGAAAAAAGGGACCAAATTTCATAGTTTAAAAATGTGTGTGAAACTGGCCCTCCAAATGGCGATTGTGTAGTTGTGGGCCCCCGATTCGTGTACGTCCTTTAAAGTGTTTTTTTTTCTAATATAGGAATACTTATACGACTTACCGACTGATGAATATTATCATATCCCGTGTCCACTATGCCTCCCTTGCCGTATTCGTTTTTGATTATTTCCATCATGTTCCTTTTCACTGTGTTTCTTGCCTTCAATCAAAATCGAAATTATGTTTTTATCATTTCTGGCAACTGACTCAGTACGGCCGTTGATGGCGTACATATACATAGCACTGAAGAACATAAAAAATAACCATAGCCTTGCAATCCTCGATAACTGATTCCATTCCCAGTTTCGTTTTCATTTCCTTCTATTGTTCCTGCTTATTCCTGGGTCAGCTCATTATTGTTCATACATGCATGCCGTTTAGCTAACATTCAGGTCAATTCAAAACAAGGCAGATTACATCAGAAGCAAAAACTGAGTGTTTAATTTCAGGAAAGGCTTACAGTACGTAGTTCGAGTCTGGTGCTTTTGTAGTATTTTCATTTAATAATTAGCTGGACCTACCTCCTCTCTCCTCGTTAGGGTCAAGATACCAGTCGCGAAACCCCCGATGATGATCAACAGCATGAATACAAAATACTGCCAAAAAAACAAAAACAAAAAACAGAAAGAGCAATGAAGTTTGGGTTATGTTTTCTACTATAACACTGGAAATATATTTGCACAACTACGATGCTATTTTTAAAATAGACATGGCACTTAAATATTACCACCAAAGCAAAACTAAAACAAAAACACACAAGGCGATTAGAGGTGCGGTCAATTGTTAAGAGCAACCTGCAAAGAGGGCCAATCTGTTTGGAAGATTTGACTCGTTCGTTGTGTCTTTGGAGTGCTAAATAAATGAATAATCACCATTAATGCGTGTTTAACTGTGTAAGGTTACACACAAACAAAACTCATTTGGTTGCAATGCATTCAATCGTGCACTGCACGCAAATACGCATAGCCTACTAAGAGTATCAGACAAGTAATTGGTCTAATTAAGAATTCAGCCCAATTGGGTCTTGACAGCAACACACGGGTACACACCACTTTCATCCAAAGTACGCTCTCCCGTACGCAAGCCCAGACGCCGTTAAACCCAACTAAGAACACCAGACATCCCAGACCGATCAAGATCCAGCATCCGATGGTCAAGTCGCTCGCACTGGTCACATACACAAAGGCGTAGACGTCACGATACTGCAATATGAAGCCTCCCACGGCGATCAGGATCAGCCCAAAGATCTTTAAAAGAAGAAGTTGTATTTATGTATCTCCAAAGTCAAGGGACTACTCATGACGTCATGCGTGATCAACAGGTGGGGATGCCGAGGAGGGGTTCAAACCCCCCCCCCCCCAGCCCAACACCCCCAACCCCCGCTCTGACAGCCCCAAAAAAATCATAACAACTATATTAAATATAAAAGGTGACATTCTGCCTGTCTGCAACAACCAGACATAAACAATTCCGACGGGACTGCCCCCCCCCCCCGGTAAAAATGGCGGCATCCGCCCCTGTTAAATCTAACAATATCGTCAGCGTTTTCACGAAAGGGACAAATTAGGCCACAAACAATATTTTGTCAAAATCTTGTTCCGGCCGAAATCGATTAAGTAAACGGCAACAAACATTTTGGCGATTTTTTTTGGGGGGAGGGGGTCAAAATGAGTCTAAATCAACGGAACAATGACAATCAATATAGGGAAAACTATGGTGCAAAAAACAACGCGCGTGTGGAATTTAAGTTTCGAACAGACACATACTCCGCAATTAATTGTTCAATTATACTGTAATTGGTACATCTTTGAAGTGCAAGATCTCAGCTTACTATCTGTATCAAAATTACTCAGCATTTGCTCCAAAAAAATAATAGGCGAAATCTTTATTTCAAGAAGTGACCATCTTAAATCCGTTTTTCTCAAAACCAAGGGTCAACACCCCGTGGCCCAATTCGTCCCTTGGTGATGACGACATGAAAATCGAAAATAAAATTTAAAAAAATCATTCGACAGAGAAAAAAACAGCTGCAGATGTAGAATTATTTTGACATTGTGAAGACAAATCGGGAGTGTTCTTGATCCTGGATGACAGAAAAGCCAAATAATGCACAACTTCAAGTAGATTTGGCATTTGTGTAATTTACGTGACTGATCATCGGCGTGGTTTTAAAAAAATAGTAAGAGAGACTTTTATATGGAAATGCTGTAACCAGTTTAAACCACACTCACCCAAACTACAAAATTTACAAGTAGATAAAGCACCCTTGCCGACTTGCCGATAACGCTAGCTTGTGGTGGCCTGGCCATATCGGATGCTGTGAAAGCCACAAACACAAAGATCAAAATCAGAAGCAGATCCAAACGAATCGAAGAATCGAAGCTCTCGCATTGTAAGATTGTTTACAGTTTGCTCAATTGGGCACCCGTTAGCAATCAACGGGCACCTGTGAAACGTTTTAATTTATTACAGTGACAATGAATGTACCAGATAGTTAATCAAACTACTCATAGTACGTAGTTTTCTATGAATAGTTTGGTTGCGGTACCCGCCGCTGTAACAGATTCGAACAAGCTAGCCGACCCCGGCAAGCTCGGTGGTCTAGTGGTTAGACGTCTGCACTAGTAAGCAGGAGGTCAGGGGTTCGAATCCCACCCGAGTGATTTTCGACTTCTCACAACCACTCGGGACAACACTGAGTATACAGTGTTTATTAATTTTAAAAAATACGTCGGTAAAAAGAACCAATACAATAATAATAATGGAATTTCTATAGCGCCGAATCCATTTAAGAAATGCTTCCTGGCGCTTAACAATCAAACTATTTACATAAATAAAAGGAATCTAAATTTACTTTAAAAAAAATGATTATATAAAGTTAAAGAAATGGATAACATTACACTATAGTAATTAAAAAGCCTGAACCACATGTAGACACCCCTGGACGGAGCAGAAAACAACCCCCTCCCCACAAGCTTGAACATATCAATCAATTTATAAAAAAAATAAATAGGAATTTTAATTAAATTGAAAATGTAACTATTTAAAACTCTATACAATAGTGATTAAAAAGACTGAAAAAAAATCACAAAAGTCGAACCACAATATAGAGAGTTAATCAAGTGTCTCATGTGAAACAATAGCACAAACCCAATGCTGGCCCATGGCTGCAAAGCCTGGGACCTATATAAGGTTCAATGTTTCAAGTTCGGGTCTTTCCGTTCTACACCGGCTCTCGTTAAAACTGTAGTCACCAATAACAACACCATTCGTTCTGCCAAAAAAAACCACCAAATTGCGAATGAAACATTGTGAATAACACCATGTTCATACCAAAGCTTACTTTACCAATCAATCCCAATCCCTTTGCTTAAACAAATATATATAGCTTAACCAAGGATTATATACCTTAATGGCAGTACTCACTTTATCGGAGAAAAAAAGTTGCACTGAAACTTACATTCGGACAAAAATACAATACTTGGCTTTTATTTGCAGTGCCTGCGTACATGTACTCCAAAAAAGAAATACCTGTGAACCGGTCTGATTGAGGACTCGATCCACGTAGAACTGCGGTAGCGGAACCAGACTAAAAAGGTCGTGTCAGTTTTTGGACTTTTAACTTCAGACCGGCAAAGTGATCAGGAAGCCATCGATGGGCAATGGAATAGAGTGTTAACTTCAATCAAAGCACCGTTAATTGTTACTTCAGTGTTGTATCTGGGGCAATATTAAGTACGATGCGGTGCTGTGTGTGCAAAGTCCACACCTGGCCCACCCATTTAGAATCTTAGTTTAACCAAAAAGTGAAGAGTTCACCAGCGTATGGACAATGGGCAGTGCAAACACCCAATGAGCTTCGATGTTCGGGAATAACAACTTCATTGAAACTAGAGACGAGGCTCATCCAAATGAAACTTGTTCCATGAAATGAAAATACATTGCCACAGCAGCTGTCACTGCGTAATTCCTTAAACTCTAAATTATTATCTTCTAAGTTCTATATGCAAGATTCATTTCAAGTTCAAACCCGATTCAAATGTGCCTTAACAGGAAGACGACTTGTGAAAAATGTATCTCATCTCTCACATGATAGTTCGCCTGATTATGTTGATACATGGGACAGACTCTCAAAATATCTGGTTTCTTATTTCTATTATTAACAAAAATGGAATCCTAACAAATATCCACTGTGTTGGGATCCTTTGGGCTCTTATCTTTATTTTTGACGAACTTTCCCTAGTATGCAAAGAAGAACAATAACTGGTCCCTCTTGATATATTACACAGCTGTTCAGAGTGACAGGTTCAGAAAATATTGTGGCATCACTTGGTATCCTCTTCTAATTATTAGGCCTACACCTCACGCAACTGTAATAATGGAACTAAATCTTGTAAATCATTTATGATCTTTCGACATTTGTTTTTGCTATTGGTTGATGACAATCATGTGTTGTTGCCACTGTTCCTTTTTTGCTATCAATATTTGTGTTCAACATTCTTCATGTCATTACTGTTTTGATAATGTGTCTGTTGTTGATTTTTCTTAGCTGACAGTCCTATGGTAAGGGCGCCCTCTGCCCACTGAGCTATTAATATTTGTGTCCAACATGCTTCATGTCATTACTGTTTTGATAATGTGTCTGTTGTTGATTTTTCTTAGCTGACAGTCCTACGGTAAGGGCGCCCTCTGCCCACTGAGCTTTATAAAGGGGGCGCCAAATGGTTTGGGTTTACTACAAAACTAAATAGCGCCCTCCTCTAATGTGGCCGGTACTTCTCAAAGGTTTAGTCTAAGTTCGGGTAGACGCTGCCCCAATACCAGTCGAAATCCAATATTAACATGTCATTTTAAAAAATGACACGAACTCTTAAGACAAATTGAAATTGTAGACCCTAAAATGATGCTGTCCCAAACGTCAGTAATACTAACTTACAAATAATACAATATGAAACGTTATGCTCCATTTTTTACCGTGATTATTTTAATATTGCGATGAAATGTATGCAACAACACAAATAGTAAATAGTGAGGTAGCACTTTTTACAATATTCCCAGACATTTCCTTTTGATTTTAAGGGATTAGACATTTTGCTCAAATATCCACAAGGAAAAACTGACTTAGTGCTTAGAGGGTTTTTGTTATTTGAGAAATTGACTGGAAAGGGCTTTGAACCTGCAACCTCCAAATTAAAAGTAATATCTAATATTTCCAAATAACATAAAACAAAAGCTACCAAAATATTATGAGATATCTTACTTGACTATACAAGTGAATAATAGTATCAAGCATCCTGTGAAATCGTGGCACCTGGTGTGCTGTCATTTCCAAGAAAAGTGGAATTTGTATATCAATTTTCAAAAACTGACTGTTCCAAATACCCGAAATTTTAGTCCACATTTTGTTTGCAATCGGTTACACATCCGTGGACGAGTACAAGCCAGCTAGACTGGTTCCCAGACCCGACAATTCCCCGACATCTATAAATTGCTCTGTTTCGTATGAAATAGGATTAAGGAACAAGACTCCAAGTATATACAGCATTTTCTCTTGATTTTCCAGCATCTATGAATACAAAACTTTAAACAGGTCAGTGTAACAATATTTACTATGAAATACTAACCCAGAAATCCATTTATTTCTTAAAATCACAGCAAAAGTAAATGTCGAATATTACCTCTTAGACAGCATTTGCAATTCCAATACGAGGAGAACCAGGCTCTTTTATGCACGAAGCCCAAGTCTAAACATTCAAGTTTCTGAACAAATACATGTAGTTCCTTTAAGATTCAGACATTTTAACGCATGCATCGATTTTATTTATTCAAAAGTCACCGTAGTTATACCGTCGTTCTGAAGTGATTATGAATGATGGAAACAGGTACCAGTACCTAAGTAGAATAACCACTTCATGCTTTTCTTCTCTTTACTACTATACTACTTTTTTCCAGCTAATTCTATTTTATTGTTTTTATGAGTTTTGTATTTTATTTTGTTTCTTTTTATTTTATTTTTTATATAGGCCCTATTTATGATTATTTTCTTGACCGACATTTTTTTTTGGCTTAAGACTAAGAATATTCCAGCTGTTTTAGCTTTAATTAAGACAAGGAACCACGTTGACTTGCAGAAATAATAAACCTTTAAACCCGGTTTGGTATCATGTGAAGACCCGAATGTATTCCAAAGGCCAGTTTCTATAGTGTGTCCGGTGGCACAGTAGTATTCGAAGAATTTTTCAAAATTAATGACACAAAGTCATAACCATAAAAGCCGTGACATGTAGACCCCGTTCCCACCTGATCCACCAATTGGGGGATCTGATCCACCTTTTGCCAAATTGCCGGATCAGATCCCCCAATTGGTGGATCAGATCCGGCAATTGTGTGTAGTGGGAACGCTAACCGTTATAAGGTGGATCAGGATCAGATCCACCTTTTCTGATCCACCTCTGGACCAGGATACAGATCCCCCAATTGGTGGATCAGATCCGGCAATTGGCGGATCACGGCAGATGGGAACGCAAAAGGTGGATCTGATCCGGCAATTTGACCTGTCAACATCCGCACGGTGCACGAGTGGCGCGAAAATGTTGCGGTCTTAAGAACGAAGAAACACGCTTTCAGGCATGTAGCTCATGTGAAAATTTCCAATGTACACAACGTGCACAATAAACAACCGCTGAACTACGGGCTAGCACCGCGCATGCACGTGGTATATCCTGAAACTACACTAGGCCTTTTACAATTTTCGTTGCGTATTCTTCCATTTCTAAACCATTTTTTTTTCGAGAAATTTTACTTATTTTTCCATCCATAAATGACTCTGAGTCCGCACTCACCAAAACACTTCAATTTGGCACAGAATCATGGAAAAGCTTACGAATACGCAATGAGAATAGTGCCGATAACGCGGTGCGTCTGGAGGTGACAAATCTGTAGTATTGATTATAGAAAATTGGAAAAGATGTCGTAGTACATCATGTGACCATTTTTAACCAATGAGAACCTTCAGAACCAGGGAATCCCTTATCGATGCATTGGTTTCTGCCGTGATGTCACACAATGAGCGGCGCTGCTCGATTTCACCAGTTAATTTATGCACGTACGGATCCTCTATCCGTGATTTATGTCGGTGAATTCGCGTAATTTTTGTCGGTGAATTCATAGCGCTGTTAAAAACTGACCCATCCTGGCCTAGCATGCAACACTACTGGCACTCCACAAAGCGCGCGTAATTCCGAACTCAGTGACCTTTCAGACCCAACATTTCCGTTTGAAAAGGTGGATCAAGCATAAGTGGGAACGCGACTTGCGGTTTCGTTGCGGTAAGATAACGATCACACCAAAATGCCGGATCGTGATCCACCTTTTCCAAATTCAAGTGGGAACGCGGTGGTAGACTTCTCTTTATTCAACCTTGTAATTTCTCTACAAGGTCTGTTTTGTTTGGGATGTTTTTTCCAAATGCAGTGTCTGTCAATAATCGTTTTTAGGCAAATGAATGACGCATAAAGATAAGCTTCAGTAAATTGTATATCCACTAAATAACTAAGACAGATATATTTGCTCCATTATCTGTTTCCTGTTTACCGTTTGGATTTACTTTGTACACTCATCATCATAAATGTTAACATATCAGTACCAAGGCCTGTAATGTGTCTCCGGGGTCATGACCTCATGAAATGTCATCGTGATCAATATTTTCATGTGTAGGCCTGCACATGTGTATTTTTTTTTTCATGACAAAAGGAATATGGCCTCGCGCCTTTCAGCAATGTTTAATCCAGGTCTGCCTGTCTGGTTTGTTGATCATTTACCATTTGTTTGTCTTCTATTCATTTCTTTCTACTGAGTGTGTTTCCCCTGGCCTCCAATATTGCAATGTGGCCCAATGTACTTTTTTTTGTCAATATTGATGTTATTGTATGATTTGAACCGTACAATCAATAATGCGCCAGGGACAGACACTAGAAATGTTGATTTAACACTTCATAAAGAACAGAGGATGAGCTGTATGTGATGTGCAGCACGCATTTGTCTTAATATTACTAAATGTACCATTAGGGAGACACCTTATCGTTATTTTTTTCGATAATAGGGAGACACCGGCTTTCAGGGAGACAAATAACTGTCTCCCTAATGGCACAACCCCCTTTTTTTTCTTGTCGTGATTAGGTTATATTTTTTGCTCGTGGTCTGATTAGTAAAATTACCGAAATTCGTGGGGGAAAAAGGACAAGGGAAAATTGGGTTAGGGCACATTTAACAAATTGTGAACAAGTCTATGGGAAAGTCTCCCTATTTACACTACACTTGAATTATCGAAATCTGCGGGGGGCGGAGGTCGAGCAAAATAAATGCAATGAAAGAAATTCATTAAGGTGCAAATAATACTGTCTGCATAGTATTTAAATAAACGATTCAATATCAAATCAGGTTTCCAATGGGACACACTAGCTCCGAAGCTATATTGATTAACCGGGTAGGCACATAATATAGCACAGACGGCTGATGGTGTATATTTCTTTTCCAGCAGAGAAGGCGTAGTTTTCAATGATGAAACGATATTTCAATTCACTTTAGCATGGAACGGCCTCATTCAAACAAATGTGTTACGTGCACGCCATTTTACACTTGGTCAGGAAAAATCCAGGGCACTTTTTTTTTTAATGTTTACTGATTAACAATTGTTCTGCCTTGGTCGGCTGCATAACATGGACGAGCCTGTACGAGAAAAAATGCACAACTCTGAACTTTGTATCTGTAATACTCACGTGAAGTGTTTTGAAACCGAAACAGCGTAAGGTTCAAGTGTCAACAATTGTATGAGCTCCGTAGATTACTGTGGGGTAAATAAACTTGTTGGAACCAATGCATGTCGCAGAGAAAATTCCAGGGGCGACATGCAAGGGGAAGGGGAAAGGAAATGGTGAGGGGGTTCAAGGGCGGATCCATGGGGGGGATAACGGGGGCAATGCCCTCCCCCAAAAAAAGTAATAAAAACGAACCCAATTGTTTTGTTTTTTTAGTGACGTCGCTATAAAGGCAGGCACTGCGTACACTACCATCTTTTCCTCCAAAAAAGAATTGGTCAAAGTGGTCAGAAATTGCCTCGGGTTGCACCACAGAGCATTTAGAATCCCAAAAAAAAATCGGGGCCCGAACCCCATACCGTAATTTTTTGACCCACTTTTTGAGGGACAAAATTTTGTTTTGGCCCCCCGAAAAAATTGTGTTCTGGATCCGCCCTAGAGGGGGTTCCCCCCTAATTTCGATTCGCTAGGTCCCCAGTCCTCAGTCTCTCTTTAAATTTGACTTCGACGTTTTACCCCTGCCCCCCCCCCCCGGAAAACTTTTGGAGTTCAAAATATTAGCCACCCCTCCCCCTTCTCCCCCCCCCCCCCCCCCCCCTTGAAGAATCGGATATCACTCCCACTGTGGTTCCATAAGGATGGTAATCAAAATAAAGTTTGCAGATCAGTTTTCAGTTTCATAAAATCTGGCTTATTAAAACAAAATCAGCCACCCCTCCCCCCACCTCCGCCACCCCCTTAGAGAATCGGATATCACTCCCACTGCAATTCAATGGGGATGGTAATCAAATGAAGTTTGCATATTAATTTGCAATTTCATAAAAAAAACTGGCTTAATTAAACAACAGCTAAGTTTATATTGATACTGAGCAAAGCATTAATAAAAGTCAGTGTATAGATCTCAACTGTGGGGGACTTAATTATGTGCATTGCAAAAACAGAGAGTTGCACAACACAGAGAGCGAACGCTATCACTTTAGATGCACGTTTTTCCGGTTTCGATTTCATATGTATGGAGTATTTCTCAAATACCACATAATTATATCGGGAGAATAAAGCTTGATTATATTTTCATGTATGAACTGCAAGCATGGGCATGCGTGAATTTGAATCACCGTATATCATTACAATAATTATCATTCACTTGTTCACAAATTAAGGAATACATCATGCGACTAATGAGTAATGTTTTAAAATTAGCCTTCCGTGAAATATTAGATTAGGGACCCCGTGACGTCATGCTCATGCGCCGACCACTTCAGACTGGAGCGTCACGTGCAGATTCGCAATACTGTCAATATTCCATAGACTGGCCAAGTCCCTCGCTGTTCTGAAACACAAATTGCGCAACAATCTTTTCCATTCTAACTCTTTAAAACATTTAGGGGAAATTGTCCTTCCATAAACTTCCCTCTATCTGTACGAGCTGTTCAATTTTGTCAGGACACGAGTTAAATGACTGGTTTTTCGCTGGTTGTCCGTTTATTGCTGAGCTCCGAGACTCTCACGCGGAGGGACTTGCACGAGTCTACCGAATCGAAAATAATAGCTAAACTGGGAAAACAAAGCCTGGCACTGTCGACTAAAGTCCGCCACGTGATGCGGTATTTGCCCAACCCCCGCGCACGTAGCCGTTTATAATCGTGGATATTATAATTTGTCCCTCACACCATATGCGCCACTGTAATATATTGAAAGCTACCAGCACTAACTAGGCCCACGCAAAATTTACTGTTGGGCAATAATTAGATTTGTCTGCCTGAAGCAAGCAACAGGTTATAGGAGACAGGGATATTTCCATTACGGTAAGTTGGACTTCTGCGTTTTCTTTCCCAACATTTATACCAGACTCATTATTAGTATGAACATAATACTTTTTTGTGTTTCTGAGAAATCCCAGTTTGTGAAGAGTTAGTGGTCATAAAATTTGAGCAAGTTGTTTCAGTTAAGTGTATATGTATTTTTTGCATTGATTAGAATGCCTACATTTGAAAATTGTCATATAGGCCTAAATATAAATGTCTATATTAACCAAATCCTCAACATTTTTATTATGTCCTGTCATCGTTAATTATTTTTTTCTCAGTGGTGACCCAGGATTTATTTTAAAGGAATAGACGTGAAATAATTGAGGAGGATGAAATCAAGGATATTTTATAAATTGTCTAATTGCCTATTATTGCCCACACGCCTATTATCCCCCAAGTCACATTTTTTTCATGAAATAGCTCCTAAAACGTCACGGGGGTGAGTTGCTTTCAAAAAAGGGATTCCGTTCCCTTCAATGGACCTGATTTGCCAACAGATTAATTATTTTCTGTGATCACTTATCCAAACAAAGCAAACCAGGACAAGTGACCTTGCATTTCATGTACATTGCAATTGTATTGAACAGGTTGTGCTTTGCAACCCAATTGTTCAATACGTTTATGATAATGAGGAAGAAGATATTCAGTGTGTCGATCCAGGGATCGAAACAGTAGGTTCTTTCCAAGTATTGACTTACAGAATTTCCCAGACAACCTATCGGCCAGAAATGAAACTAAACCTCATAAAATTGCGAAACAGTACGTGGTTTTCAGCAGCTGCTGTATAACAGTGAAAACCAATTCCTTCCAAACATCTCCAGTGAATCATTTCACAACGTTCAACAAGTTTGTTTTTCTCATCCTTTAGGGATGAAACTATTGCTAGGATCGTGTAGTTCGTGTTGTTAATGTTGGTAAGCAATTTGAAGCAGCCCCTGTCCACCCAGTTATAAGAGGAGATTAGGTGCGGTCCTGTTGGGTGCGGTGCTGGACATGTTAATGTGCGACGACTTTGGGTTTTTTTTTCAATTTGGATAGTTAGGGCAATCGTTCCTTTTGAATGATTCTTTTGAATCCTATACCAACAATAGGAACTTTCTTGCATCAGTTATATTGAAGGCAAAACATTCGTGTTTGCGGAATTAAATGCCCTAAAAAAGTCCAGGTAGGTATAAGGTAGGAAAAAAGTATTTTATTTTTGACATTTTTTACGTTTGTTTGTACTTACGTTTACACTTACTTGGCTTACTTCAAGATACCTTAGACGGTATTCTTTTTAATTAACCTGTTTAATCATTTTAATAACCAAAAAGCATTAACACACCGTGAAATTCGCATAGGGAAGACTGTGAATTTTCAAAATATATTTTTAACTTTCATTTTTGTAAGGCTTTATAGTCTGAGTTGATTATCACAACACAACTGCCATGAATTCATGAACAAAACAATGCGTGTTGTTTTCCCGGTGAAAATCAGCAAGATAACACACTCCATTTACCGTAATTTGCTGGTACTCGCACAGTGGCGTCCGTTTACAGTTGAATTTCAAAGGCTTATTATTCTCAATAGTTGATATGTTAATGGGAAATACTATAATAATTGATAAAATATGTTTCAAAGACATTTGATCACCATAAAACGACTGAATATATCCTTGCACTCATGCCATTCATTCTAAAAAACCGTTATATTCAATTCAATATCAATATTTGTTTAAAAACAAAATTGCTAAAACAAAATTGCAGCCTACCACTTAGAAAAACATTACCTATTGACAAAGATTTCGTGTAGATTTCGTTATTCTTGGAATTTGGTCCTTTTTTTTGTCAAAATAAATTGTATCTTTTAATCTGTATGTTTTATAGCTGGTATCCTTGTTTATGTTATATCAAATTAGCACGAACAATATAATATATTAGCACGTTGGTGTTAGGCAACTTTTTTCCGCATGAAATTCGTTTTGTTGTTACTGGTCTTACTCTGTGGTTTTTTTATTGATAGGCTGAATTTATCAAGACAATACTCCTCACTCCTCACTGGTATTCCAAAATTACTCAGAAACTCTCTGAGGGAACAGAGGTGTAATATAAATAAGCCTAAATGTTATGCCTTCTTTTGAGTACAGGAAACTTGAGTGAGTAGCAGCACCGAAAGGAAAAGAAAATCAAAATGGCGCAGGGTTGCGGAGCCTCGATGTCCAAAATCATTCTCTTCATATTCAACGCACTCGTTTGGGTAAGTAGTTGCTGCAGTAATGCAAACATATCGCACCAGTTACACCTGTAGCGTGTTGAATGCTACACTTTGTAAAAAACAACCCTTTCTGGGAGTTAATATTTAATTGCGGCTTTGTTGGCGTCTGGGAGCGACTGTAACATCTGCGCTGGCGAACCGATCGAAAATCAACATATGGCGCCCTGATCAGTCTATTACTCATATCAGGCGAACGGCGACTGTCTGTCAAGTGTCCCTTAGAAATGAAAAGTTACAAAGTTAACACACTGTGCTCGCAGTGTACCATTGTGAATAAATGGTGACCCAAAAAAACACTGCAATCCACGAAATATTTGCCATATTTCAAAAACGTGCTCTGTGAATGTTAATGTTTGGGTTATCAGATTAAAGCTGAGAAATCTTTCGTTCAAATACTGAAAATATCATGAAAACAGCACGTTGGGTTGCTGAGAAAATGCGTTGCATTCAATTGTGTGTTGCAATGCCTTATTCATGAGTCGGCCATATTGGATTCAGAGTGAGGTAAAAATCTTCATTTTTGGAATTATTTTGTGCAGAGAAATGAAAGCAATGACGTTACAAATTAATACCAGTCTGCTCAAATGATCATTTAAAATTTGTGATTAAACAAACTCTAATGTTTTAAGCCTCATTTAAAAAAAGAAATGCAAGCAAGGCTAAATGAATCAATAGTCTGGCACCATCCCTTTCAACAGTTCACAATTTATGAAATACATTCGGGGGACACGACAAAAAAGGTCAACTCGTGCATAAGGCCCATTGAAAATCTCGCTAAGTGCAACTTTGACTTTTGAGGTTTCAGGAGCTTCAGCGCTTGCGCTCTCGTTATTTCTTACACACTGTTCCCAAGTGAGGTATCAAATTGAACCGGAAAGTTTCCGTGACAAAACGTATATTTCAGAATATTTGATCACCGAGAAAAATGTCCAAACAAGAATGATTATAAAAAGCGCTTCCAAAAAAATTATTTCTTTTCGTGCCTGATGTTCATTAAGAATGTTATTAATTAGACAAGTGTAAATAACAGTAGGAATATAAATAACGTACATATAGACACTTACATTGCCATAACAGTTTGCCAGCAGTATTTGATTTTCTTTTGCGACTTCTGCTCTGAATAATAACTCTTTTAAAAACATATTAAATAAATTAACCCTTCTATATTAATCATCTGTTGTCCGTACTAATTTTTATTCTTCCTTTAAATATTGAAAGCATTGCTATCGCAATTATTAAATTAACCTCGGATTTTAGATCAAGACCTGTTAATAAGTTGAACAGTGTTGGAGTAGTAAAACTCCTTTTTCTATTTTCGCTTGATAGTAAACCTTTAATTGATACCAGAATGTAATCGTTAGTTTACAGTGAAGAATGTGTGTTTATAGTCGTCAATCGTGCCACACATTTTGAGCGTAACCGACTTTCCTCAATTTTCTATTAACCTTGCGCAGAGTGACCTGCTGCCCTTTGGGCCGAATTTTTTGGAAAAAAAAATTAAGGGCCAATGACGGTCACCTTCCATCTAATCCTCATTCGACCCTTGCCAAATCAGCTGGTTCAATGAACTTTGCAGCCAGGGCTACACCCAGGCCGTGTCAACAAACTTTCGACCAAGCCTCCTGCCAAGTCTCATTGAAACATCAACAAAGACCTGTAACTTGACACAGTCATCTCCCTTCATAACTGCATACCACAGCCGCCAGTCAATTATCTTTCCAGCGCACTGTCTGGCAACTGTCTGGACACTGTCTGGCACGTGGCTTTTTGTTGTATTGCTATGAATAGGGTCTTGCGTAGTGCGGGATTGGGCAGCAGTTGACGAGTTGTTGCAAAGTTTTTTTGTAAACGCTGCGCAGGGTTAAATTATATTCAACAATTCTTTCGTTGATATCATACGATGTATGAATCTGTAATTCAAGTTTCTTAACTTACTTCCTTTAATTTCCACTATTTTCTTTTTCCATAAGGAAGTCCAAGTATTTTTTTATGCAGTAATTTTTCCCACCACGATTCAATATGAGTTGTTTTACTTCTTCCATATTGTATTTTTTTCTAGTTGTAATTTTTCTGAGTTACCTAGACTACACTCTATAAACTGTGTTTAGCAATTAAACACAATCTTGCTATCACTTTGTAAATATGTTAAGAAGCTAAACATGATGAGTTCAATTCTTAAACATCAATGTTAAACTGCTTACTCTAAACATGTTTAGTATTTAAACATGTTTACAAATTGATAGCAAAAAGGCGTTTGGGAAAGCGTTTTATTTCTAAGCACAGTTTTGCAGTGTGGGATTAACATTAACTTTAACATCAAGAGAAGTGTTTTCTTTATTGTTTACCAAGATTGGTAACGAAATATTTATGTCAAAAAGGACTTGAACATCTTAACACTTTCTTTCCCATCTCTTACGCATAGGTTGCCAGCATCATCTTGATCGCCATCGGCGGCTATGTCTTGAACAACAGCTCCAAGTACGATAACCTGTTTGGTGAGAGCAGCAACACGCTGACCGTTGTCTGCGGCTTCCTCATCGGCGTGGGATGCTTCATCTTCCTGGTGGGGTTCCTGGGATGCTGCGGGGCCTGCATGGAGAACGGTTGTTTCCTCAAACTGGTGGGTGACATGTTCACTTTCACAAGTCGACCCTAATGCCGGTTCGATGAAGAGTTGAGTTGATAAGACCGTGCCCGAAGCACTTGGCTACTAGTGGCTTAAGCCGCTTCCAGTAAATCCAGACCAGTAAATCGGCCCAGAATTACCTACGCGAGCCAAATCACAATTTGTAGGCCCTCAAATTCTCAGGAATTTGAGTATTGTGAGGACCGTGAACTTGAGGATTTGTAAAAAAAAAAAATTAAAAAAAGGAAGGGTGGGTGGGTGGGTGGAAGCCGTGCAGAAGACTGCCACCTCCCTATTTCTGTGAAATTTGGATGAAATTAGGCCCTAAAAGATCTATTTTGCAATAGAGCATAGGCGTCCATTTTAAAAATGGCGATTTGCTTCAAGACTGCATTTAGGGGTGATCATATTTGGATGGAAGTTTCTCCCAAAAGTCATCAGTTAACCAAAAATGAACAGAAAATGAAAGATGATGAAAAATGCTTTAATTTTGATGGGTATCACAAACACCTTGGAGAGTTGTGAGTATTTTTTAAGGTTTTTTGGAAGTACGCGTAATTACCATTGGCGTCTAGCTCCTAAGGTTGCAGACCAGTAAATAAACTTCCATAGACCCCAATGGTAAATGCTCCCACTTCAGAAATTCGGAAAAAATACTCACAACTCTCCAAGGTGTTCGAGACACACATCAAATTAAAGCTTATTTCATCATCTTTCATTTTCTTTTCAATTTTTGGGGGGTCAACGGATGACTTCCATCCGAAGATGATCACCCCTGAAAATAGTCCTGAAGCCCATCGCCATTTTGAAAAACGATGCCTACATTCCATCGCAAAATAGAGCGCTTTAAGGGCCCCGATTTCATCCAAGTTGAGCGGAACTACAAGCTCACAGTCCTGTGCACGGTTTTCCTCCCTCCGGAAAAATCAAACACTTTCGATCTCAGGCTGTGCCCCGTGGTCATATATGGGTCGATGTGGCCGGCAGCCAAGGCGCCTTTACGTGCCAGCGGCCCGACCACGTTGTAGCCGCGTCCTTCGCAATTCAGCATCCCAGCTGCCAGTAAGGATGATTAGCCTCCCAAATTATTATTTATCATAAAGAATATCTCGTTAAAAAAAGGAGTTCTGGTGGGCCTACTTGTTGTTTCTTTGTGTTAATTTAGTTTTTTTTTATAATCGCAGTATTTCGTCTTCCTCCTCGTCCTGGTGTTGGTGGAGTTTATCGGTGGCATTCTCGCCTTTGTCTACAGGAACGATGTAAGTCAATAAGATGTAGTAAATAAAAAATCTGGCATCTCAGCCAAGACATATATACATAAAGATTCAAAGATGAGACAAGACAGCCGTTACAGACAAAAACATTGACGAACCAAAACCAGCTTTACTTCCGAACTTTGAATAAATACACAAAGGGTCATGAAAATGGCGAAGTATGAGATTATTTTTCTTGTTCTCCCTCTAGATCAAGAAGTTCATTCAAGACGAGCTTGATCAACAAGTCAAGCAGTTCTACGGGGAGCCAGATCAAAAGGTGGTTACCGGCGCAGTTGACGATCTCCAGCGAGATGTGAGTTATCAAAACAAAATGTGCTTTAGTGGAAATTAGCAAAGTACCAACCACAAGCAACATTATAACAACATGAGAGATTTGGCTGGTATTAAACCCATTCTTTGCTAAGCAAATATTTTAAGCGCTGAGCAAAATTCTAAGCTTAGCAGCTTCTGCACTGGCAATGATCCGTTGATCCAATCCAGTTCATAGACCATCATGTTGCGGCCATCTTTATTTTTTCCCCATTCAAATCAACGTTACCAAAGCGAGGCTGGAAGGAAATAGTCTGGTTCCTTTTTGCAAAAAAAACCATTATCATTCAGTACTGTTATTGGATACAGGGAACATGACTAAAATGGTGGCAGCATGATAAAGGTCGAATGAGTGATTGACACTTGTAGTTTTCGAAACCTCGGTTTTGCTGCCGGTTTGGCTTCCAGAGATTAAAGACTGAGTTTTTCATGCATCTAATACTGAGTCTGTGCCGACCTGCTTACTGAAGATTACATGCACATCCTATAATACGAGAGCTACAATTTCAATATTTCAATTAGCTTGGAATATTTCAAGCATATACATGTAATTGATTCTGGAGCCAGATTGGAGCCAAAGCTGGATGCAAAGCCGAGATTACATAAACACCCGAACTTACCTTTATTTTCAACAGGAGAAATGCTGCGGTGTTGTAGACTACACCGACTATTACAACAGTACCTTCGCAACGTTGCCCCAGTTTACTGGCGAAGCGGTTCCACAGAGCTGCTGTAAGGATCAAAACGATGACACCTGCAACGCGGCACGGGCCAATGGGACCATCGCAGATGTCAGCAAAATTTACACTGATGTGAGTACTCAGTTTGATATCCGGGGAGAGCCAGGCTAGCGTAGCGGTACTTTCCTCGCCTTCCACCGCTGTGACCCGGGTTCGATACCTGCCTGGGCCAATCAAGTTGGGTTTCCAGTCCCTACTTGATTCCGTGGGTTTTCCTCAGTAATATTCTTCTGGGGTTTCCTAGCTCCCACATCTAAAACTGTAATTTCTTCACATTATCTTCTCTTTACTGGGCCCATGGGAGATCAGTGGACTCCACTAAATGGGCTACCTAGGTAAAGTAACAATTCAATAAATAAACAAATAAATAAGTATTGAAATACCATTATCTCTGAGGACCAGGCAATGTCGTTTCCCGCGTTCCTGTAGTTATAAGCCCACACACACTTACGTCCGTTTTCAACAAAAAGATGTGCATTCGAGGACAATTACGTTGTCCTCTTGATGCATGTAATACAAGGAGTACATTCGAGAGAAAGCGCCCAATTGGGCTCTAGAATGCGTTTATACAACGAAATTGTTTTACGTGTAGTTGGAAAGATTGTTAAAAATACGAATTTTCATACATCTTTACCTTATCATTTTGCTATTTTGTGTAATTACCTGCGCGGGGGAAATTCGAAGTGCAACATTTTGGTCCTAAAAAAATCGAGCCGTTCGGGCGCTGGTCTCCTTTGTTAGGCCTACAGTATGTGTTTGTCTAAAAGAAAAAAATTGAGCTAATGTTTCCAGATCGAGTGTACAAAGAGCAAAAGAGAACCATTAATGCCACATGGTGGAAGATACCACGCTTTCGGAATTTAGAAGGTTGGCAGAAGAACTAAACTCGGTCACCTCCGACAATTCAATAGATTTTGTTTCTCTTTTGTGAAACTTGAGAGTCGATGGATGCATATTTCCAGGGAGCTGGAGGAGGTTTTTACCGTTAGTTAATAACTGAAATGTGAAATAATTTCATTGCGGTCAGAATCTGAAGTAAAACGTCTTTCAAACTCACATTTTTTGTCTTAACTCAGGGATGCATGGCCAAACTAGTGAAGATCTTCGAGGACAATTTCGTGTACATCGGAGTGGCCGCTTTAGTTCTGATTCTTGTTGAGGTGAGTCAAAAAAGCCAGAATTCGTGTGCTTTCCCTTTCTGCAACGCTTTGCGCCACCTAATTTAGCCGCCATTTTGTGGTTGATGGACAGCACGCATGCACAAGACCACGCGCCGATGCCCACGCATCCTCGAGTGTGCGACAGGCATGTTATGTCCGGTAACCGGGCCTCTTCTAAACTAGTGTTGCAATTCGTTTGAAGGCACTGTTGCAGAACCTTCAACGTTATGACGTCAGACGTCGGGAATATTCAACTTGTTCTCAATTTAGTGCGCACCTTTAAGGAAGGCTCCGTTCTATAGAGCTAACAACACGAAAGTTATAATTACATTTTTATATGCATAGTCCTTAAACCCAACCAGTTTGTTGTTAATGGTGGCAGATATGCTGAACATGCTCCTATTGAAATTGGTCACAAATCCATGCTGCCTTTTGTTAAACCTTTGGATTGAGCTCCCTCACGATTAACAAACCCTTGTTCCTTCTTGACAGATAATCAGCGGCACTCTTTATCACTAAATTTAAATACTAACCGGAGCAAAGTTGAATACAATTTCTCGTTTCTTTCTTCGTTTTAGATTTCCGCTATGATCATGTCTTGCTGTCTTATCAGCGGTATTGGTAAGAAAGATGATTACAAGTCCTACGCCTAAATCGGTGTTTAAAACTAGCCTTCTTGTCTTAGATTTGCCTTTCTGAGTTTTTTATTCTTGCTCTCTAGACAAAAAGACTGGCGTCGGAGCGGAAGGGGAATAAAAGGTAGATGCCCCTGAAAAACTTAGAAATTGAACCATCTTTGTGTTTTTTAGGTTGTCTGATTTTTTTTTCTGAGTTTTTCCTGGGTCGATCTCGATCTCGATTAGATGCACCGGAGCTTTGCACCGATCCCGATGGGTGTTTGTGGTGGATTGTAACGTTGTCTGCTACTTTTATTGCGGCCATGTAATGTCGATGTGAATTCCATGGGCCTTATGCACGGGTTGACCATTTTTGTCGAGTTCCCTGAATCTAGTTCATAAATTGTGAACTGTTGAATGGAATGGCGCCAGACTATTTAAGCAGCCTTATTTTACTGTCATGTTTTTGTAAATCTGGCTTAAAGCATTAGGGAATGTTGAATTACAAGTCTTAAATTATTCAACATGAAGCAGACTTGAATTAACTAGTAATTTACTTGCTTTCATTTCTCTTCGTAAGTTCCAAAAATGAAGATTTTACCTTACTGTCAATTCGATATGGCCGACATGTGCATAAGGCCCATACCCACCAGGATAATCCTGCCTACACCCCTGATAGAGATATAAGAAATGATTGTAATAAGATTTGTAAAATACAATTCGTTCTCTTGAACATTCTCTTCGATTTAGAAATAATCCAACAGTGAATAACGCTTAAGGAAATGTTTCCCAAATGCGTGGAGAAAATAGTGTGTTCAAAACTAATGTAATTATTTTGTTTCGCTCCTGAAATCCTTTAAATGTTTATTAAAATGACTTCAGCTTCCGCTTATTATTTTCTAGTTAACAGAAACAACATTAAGAGTGTATGATAAGATGAGTGTATTATCTGCGTATAGACTAGATAATATTTCGTGATGGTAGGATGAATAGAAATTAAAAGAAAACCGCCATGCACGGTATATTTTTTCGAATTTCGACATGATAAGTGCTAATGAATCAAATCGTCTTCCATCTTATACTATAAAAGCTTGTCCAAAATTGGAACATCTCATTCAGATGTGTGGTAACATTTAGCGATTGTTGTTATTTTTATTAGAAATAAATTACTCCTTATTTAAAACACGATTGTCTTAAAAGTAGGGGAGATAGGTGTTTGGATTATGCCTTTGATGATACAAGCATTGGTATTTGGCACACAGTCAGAGTGTGCCATGAGAAATATATTTGGCAGTAGGCCCATCGCAGATTTGTCCTTTGACAAATGTATAGAATAACAAGCAATGGCAGCCATTTTGAAAATTTGGAATATTGCTTGTGATTCTTCCTATAATTTCTCAGAGGACAAATCTGCGATGTCCCTATAGCCAAATATCTTTCTCATGACATACTCTGACTGTGTGCCAAATGCCATGCTTGTATCATCAAAGGCACAATTCACCCAAATATTTTTTTTTATCTGCCCTACTATGTGTAGTGGTGTAGAAGTGGTAACAACTTGTCTAGAGAGTTTCACTTTCGGACTTAAAGAGTGCAGATGCTGCCGATTTTCAATTGAGGCCACCAACTGTACCAACTGTATTGAATCTTAGTTTTTAGAAAAGTAATCTTCCTTTTTTTGACACTCTAAACAATTAGGCCTATAATGTTTAGTATTATTTTTTTTTTAGAATTAACATTCATATAACAGTAATACCTTGTGTTATGTATGTTTCCCATTCTTAAAACCGTAAATTAAAACTTGGAACTTGAAACTTTGGATATCTGATATTACTACAATATGTACAAAATAGACCACGTGCACGGGGCGCCCTCACCGAGGACAGGTTTTGTTCTTTGAATTCACTAACCAACAATGTACACTGCTTCTACGCACAGGATGTGACGTCATCTGCAGATCTTAGATGTGACGTCATCTGCAAAGGGCTATAAGTAGTCACGAGCTGTAAATAGCTAGAAGTCACAATACAAATAAATTAGACTTCCTTGACTCGATTTTAAAAAGTGCTAAAGAATTGTTTATTTTTCCATGAATTTGCAGGATTATGCCATACCTTATCCCCTTACAAAAATGTACAGGAAAACAAACAAGACACCAAAATATCCTTTATAGCAATTTGATGTAAAAGCTCCTCTCAGTGTTATGGCCATCAACTTTAGCCTTCTCTCCAGCAAAATAATACTCTGAATATTTTGATTATTTTTTTTCAGAACATTGAAATTGGACGTCATTTTTGATGACCTCAAAGGTCAAATGTCTGGTAGCCGGCCAATTGACTGGTGCCCAAGCCCATCATGATCTTTCCAACAGAATAGCCCTACCAGTGTATGCGCATTTAAATATTTTTAGCGAGTTTGGTTTTATATATGTTTTAATGGAATAAACACATTTCAGTGCTGTACACATTTCAATAAGTAGGCCGTGATGTATGGTGCTCTTATAAATAGACTGCTTTATTTATTGAAAACAAACAGAAAAAAATACATTATCTGAGCTGCAGGGTGACAGACTATTAAATGAAGTTCGACGATTTTACCTTTCACGTTGCTTTCCAAAATGTGGGCATCTCGGTAACCAAACGACTTAAGACAAGCTGCCAGTTGAAAACATCAATTAGAGGCTTGTCTAACAGAAGTGCGCCACCAGCAGGTTTTGTCGCATAGAAGTGAGCCTCCAAGCAGCCCGTATCACAGAAGTGCGCCACCAACAGGTTGCCTCAGAGAGGCTATTTTCAAATTTCGAGGTCGGCATCTCAAAAGTCATTACCTAACCTAGTCTTGTTCCCAGACCAAAAGATTCTGAACATTCCTGATGAATCTCAAGTCAGGTAACCGATAAAATATATATATATAAAACGACACGAGACCAAAACGGGAGGAATGCCTCCAATTTCCGAAAATGTCCGGAGTTTGCCGAATGCATTTCGTCGACAATCATGCATGGGGCAAGTTTGCGCAAGAACTATTGTTGACCATTGGTTAACCATTATTCGACTAAAGTTAGCCCGAACTCTGTTTAGTCGACGGTGGTTGACTACGCTAGTCGACTATTTGGAGCCAACCTACTAGGGCTGGTTGCATCGCTGGTAACCAATAGCCGCGCGCATTCATAACGTACAGCAGGGAGCCAGGATCCAAGCGTTTTGCGATGACATTTTGACCAGCGTTTGACTATAGAGGCGATCGCACATTGCTATTAGTGCGCCGGCGTAAGGTACGTCACAAATCAACCACTAGTCGACTAATGGTCCTTGCCCGAACTTGGCCCTGGATAGCGCCCAGGTATTTCATGGTATATTTTTTCACCTGCCATGCTTATTATAAAAGATGAATTGATACCGGTGATTAATATTCATGGTTGCATTTAAAAAGTTGAAATTCAATGACGACTTTGTGCATAACGTATATACTCGGATCATATAACTAAGAAAGCAGCCAAATAGACTGGGCTCCGTCTGGTTATGGCAGTCCGTGCACTATATCCATGTTTAAATATCTGGATAGCTCATCAGCCATTGTACTATGCACCGTACATATTTTAAACCACGCGCTGGTTCCGAATCTCTCAATTCGAATAATGATACGGGAACCGTATAAACACTCCCATTGTGCATTTACAATAACATTCTAAAAAGAATTAATGTTAATGAAGTCCCAAATTAATTCTAACTATTTAAACAATGAATTATATAAATAGAGATTGTGCAATTAAGTACAACATTCAGCAAACAAATAATTCAAACTATATTGTGTTTTTTCTTCTTCAAAGAAATTATATATTACATTAAAGCCTGATTATTTTTCAATCCACTTCTTAAACAATCAAAGTGAAATGGTGTAAATTTGATTTTGGGCCACTCTCACCTTAAATGATACCAACTTCAATGCTTATTCAATACTTAACCCATATTCAACATGTGCAGGTGAGAGTGGCCACAGTATAAAATGTATACCCTTTCACTTAATTGTATTTCTTGATCTCTAGGGACCCAAGTGGAATGTGGTAACAAGAGTAAATTGAGAAATGGTCAGTCTTTAATAAGGGAATAAATGTGTGCTTCGGAGGTTTTTATCACTCTGTTTAAGACCACTTAGAGTCTGGGTGCTGATAATTACCCGAGCCGGAGGCGAGGGTAATTATCAGCACCCAGACTCTAAGTGGTCTTAAACAGAGTGATAAATACCGACCGAGCACATATTTATTCCCATTCATAAATACCTTTTCGGTAAAAAAAAAAATTGTTCAAAAAATCCCGATTTTGTTCAACAAGTTCACTTCATGCTTTTTGAAACATCCCTTTAGCAAAATAATGGAGTGTTCAGCTGGCGAGTAAGATGTAAACAACCCTTTTAAGGAGATTGACGCGCGCGTAGCATGTTCTGCGCGATGTCGCGCACAACGCACCTGGGGCGTTGCGTTTTTTTTAGAACTTTACAATTTAGAACTATACAATTCTGACTCGCTGGTAGTGTTGCGCATGCCTACGTGAGGATGTTTACGTTCAACCAATGAAACGATAAGAGGCACTGGATTTTTAGGAGTCCACATTTTATTGTGACACTGGAAAAGTGTTTAAGACCAGCTAGCCATGTCTTTATCATCCGTTTAAGACCGGCCACGTGACGGACTCTCGACCAATAGGAATAGCTAAACTGTCTGAGGTATTTATGAATGCAATCTATTATTTCATTCAAAAAAAAAAACCATGAAACTGTTTGAATTATTTGTTTTCCGAATGTTGCACTTTTTCGCACACTCTGTACATTGTAATAAAATAGGTAAGGATTGCGGTTAAAGTCTGATACATTTTGTTTAAAATTCCATTGTTATGGGGCTATCCAGATGTTTTGTAGAGAACAGTAGTCCATGCGCGTATAATAACTGTTTAACTTCTCTTTGAGCGTGACTAGCAGTGTCAAGAACACAATACTCTCCACCTTAGTGCATGCAAGCCCAAAATTGTATTCGGTGGCCAAACAAAAAATACAACAACAGTAGCCATGGATACGGCAATTCAAAGTCCATCCTCAGTCTCGCTACTTTGCATATTTTAGCAATAGATAATCCACTGCATAGATTTGCTATGACTACAAAGTCTCGTGCTGGCAGGACGCACTCTTCGTCACCATAATTAATCAGTGTCCAATTGCTTTTTTTGTCATTTAAAAAGCGCAAATTTTATGTAAACATTTTACGTTTGTTTTTTCAAAAGAGTTCTTTTCAAAAAAGCAAGTGCAGATGACCCTGTGGTTATTGTCAGAATAAAACTGCAAAAAGAATATTTGAAAAGTAGTTAAAACTTTAGAAAAGGAAAAACAAATATTTGGGGGAAAATGTAATTTGTCAGGAGGTAACAAATATAAGGACTGTCTAGTGCAGAAATTATTTGTCCAGAACAGGATTTGAATGCGGATAAACAGCTGGAGAATGGCCAATCCAAATCAACGTTTCACCAACCAAGAAACATAACACCGAACTACCCGATTCACTCCAAAATCGGAGCTGCACGTTATGCCTATAGGTGACGATATCCACGATGGTTACTACACATACGGCTTTAAACCTATCCGAAGAAGCAACAGTGGTTACGGGGAGAGTACAAAACAGATCACACAATTATTTCTAAGATTTTAAAGAGGTTGTGGAATGCTCGAAGACATTTCCGTCATTTTTTGGGTATATGTAGCCTAAGGTGTGATGAAATAAAAATTTCTTTTGTGTCTGTCATGAAATGAGTACAAAAGGTACTTTTGAGAGCTGTTTTTCCGGTCCTGTTTCGACCCGAACGTGCAATTTGTGTAAAAGTCGTCGTTGGGGCAGCAAACAAAACATAGTCAATCGTGACGTAATAAACAGGACTCCCGATGCAGCGTAGTATAAACCTCTTTTAAGACTCCCCAATTTTCGTTTATAGACAAGTTATTCTAAATACTGCCATCAGCAGCTGTATAGGCAGCATTTAGTGGTAAATCGGGGTCATAAAATGCTTCAATGGGATGGGTACAAAATTCAGGCATGGCGTATGACGAATACGACCATACAAATAATTAACTTTAGTAATCTAATTTGATGAACTTTTCAAAGAACGGAATGTGTGACTCTGATGACTGTCGTGCATGTGACATTCACGAGGGAGTCTGATACCGAGACCTGAGATTTGAAGTGGCGCGCTGATGGCCTGTCAGAAAACTTATACTGGGAAACAAAGGTCAAGTGTTTTATTTATGAAAAGTAGTGACGCAAGGAAAGAACAAAGGTGAACGAAAAAACTGAAATGTACAAAACACAGTTAAACAGCCAAAAACAGTAAGGCTGACGTTATCTGTTTGCTCACTATAGTTAAGTATGTTTTGCATAACCATTCATAGATTTAACCAGATTCCTTACCCTTTCCTATAACTTTAACCGGTTAACCTGTCCATATTTTGAGTACCGTTTTAAAAAAGAGAGAAACGGTGGGTAAACAGTTGACGTTTTGATGACTTCGCCTGAACATCAGTTTTGGAAATGAAGACAGTCGGTGCTAGGACTGTTCACTTGACGGAACGTCTTCAAACTCAAAAGAGACGTTAAACCGTTTGTGCCCTAGCTGTTTACGATATAAGAGGCTTCAATGTTTGCCAAGTTTTTTTTGAAATAGTTTCACGGCAGAGGCCGATCCGTATTTGGGTTTTCGACACTGATACTTCGTACCAGTCTCTTGCAACGGTATCCAAGCACATTTAGAGTGTCCAATGGTATCTAAACGATTGTGTTATATTGTTACATTCCAAAGCATAATAATGACTCCATATCCGACCGCATTGCAACAGACGTCTCAGACAATATAAGGCCATGTATAATAAGATGGGCGTCGCGAAAATTTGACGCCAAAATGCCGATGCACGTGACACAAATTGTAGAAAGTGACGTCATTTGAGAGAGACCCTAATGATAATGCTTAAACCGTGGAGGGTTAACAAATCGCAAATAAGCAAAAGGTTGAAATTGATTATTGGTATTTAACAGATACATTGCCAAATTAAACTGGTTAAACTAAACTCTGTGGCATGTTTTGCTATTGTTCTTTAATCGTTTATGTGAGCCATGCGTTTCGTCAGAGATTACAAAATGACAAAGACGTTGACATGTGTCGTCTAATCGTTATTTGACTTTTGGAGTAAACATTTGGAGTAAGAATTCAATTGAATAAATAAATGCAATTTTTTTGAAAACCTACGGTAAATTGTAACCTCGTAAGAAAAGAATAACGTCTACTTTCCGAAGCGACTAACATTCACGTCTTATTAGAAAGCTAGCTAGGTACTTTCGGCCTAAGTGGTGGACAGCCATGTCACTCAGGTTATAATACATGCAAAGTAGAGTACATGTAGTACTTAAAACGACTAGCTATACCACTCAACACAGAACT